TTGGCTGGCAGAGCGTGGCATTCAATGTGTGAACTCCACTATGCTCGCTCAGGGTGGGAAGTACGACAACTACCACTTGCACGACCACCAATTTAACCGGAAACTGGTTTATCGTTTCTTGAGAGGAGCCATCACCTTCCACCTCAAATACGTTGAGCTCATGTCGAAGAAGGACGATCTCAAGTACTTTGTCAAGGAGTTCATCAGCAACGAGCAAGATCGTGTGGCCGCGGTCCATCTCTTCCCCACGATGGTTCAGTTTCGTTTGGCTTTGCTCGGCACTCAAGAAGTCATGGAAGCCGTCTCCACTGAGAAGAAAACGGCAACCCCTGCCCAGGTCTTTGACGAGGCAGATGAGGAGATCCTCATGTGGGTCCATGCAGGAATTCTTGAAGCCAATGAGGAAGCCACCCGGGAGGGAAGGCCGATGCCCACTGCTTTCACTGATGAAGAGATCAGCTCCATCGTCCCAATTGACCCTTCGATCGAGGACTACGAAACCGAAGAAGTCAGGGCCCGACAACACCTTCAAGAAGATTTGAATCAGGCCGTGGCTGATGGTTTCTCAACTACAACCATTGAGTCGATCGAGATCAATCCGGAGAACACTGATGTCGATGATGATGTTGAAGTTGTTCCCGAGTTTGATGAGTGGGACGTGATCCTGGATGAGAAGATCATTGTCAATCCCCATGACGAGAAGGTCAAGGAAGATGAAATCTCGGAGGAAAGAGCCAAGGAGGTTGCAGATCTCAACAAAATCATCGAGATCACATCCACTGAGGCAAAGCCTTCGGGAACGTCGGCCGATGACCCTGCTGCTGCAAAAGATGCACCCGCAAAGACTGACCAAGGAGGGGAAGACATGACTTCATCGAGGATTTCAACATGGAGTGTGGTTGGTGGTGAAGAATCCAAGCCCAGCGACATGACTTCTTCAAGGATCTCAACCTGGACCGAGGTTGGTGGATCTGAAGCCACTGCCATGGACGTTGACTCTGAGAAGAAGGAAGGTGCTGATGCTGCCCGGGAGGGTGTGCCGACTGATGCTGCAGTTCCTGAGGCTTCCGCTTCTTCCGAACAGCCTGCTGACAAGACTGCCATTGTCGACTTGACCAAGACCGAGAAGAAGGTGGAGGTTGACAAGCCAGTTGGAAAGCCGGCCGAAAAGAAAATGCCGAAGAGTGAAAAGCAAAAGGCACCAGAGTCAAAAGCGCAGCCCAGACAGAAAGCGCCGCGACTCAGTGTCGGAGCTGATGCAGCCCTTCGCAAATTGGAAGAAGCGACGGAACGCCAAGAGGGATCAGTATGGTTGGACCCCAATGACATGATCAACAGGATTCCCAAGGAGTATTGCGGCCAAGGGCGACTGAGATTTCTTTCCACAAAGTTATCTTATGTTCTCCGAGGACACGCATTGAGCTATGGTGCTCGCAGCCCAGACATCGATCCCATGGATCTTTCGATGGATTTCGAGGCGGTGATGAAGACGATGGCCCACTACGTCTCCTACCCGAAGATCAGTGAGGTCCTGTCCATCGTGCGCAACAGTGACACCAGGCGCTTTCAGGTGAAAGTGGCTCAGCCCGATTTGCCTGATGCAACCTGGAAGGGTTTGCCATGGAAGGTTGTCGCCATCAGAGCTGTCCAAGGACACAACCGTGCAGTGGTGGAAAATGCCAAAATTTCATCGCTGGTGAAGGAAGTGTTTACTTTGGATCCAACCTTTACCAAGGCTGACCTCGACACGCCCAAGTTGCCGAGGACAAATCTTCGCCCAGACCTCGTGCCGGAGATGTTGGCTGCACTTCCAAGGGTTATCTACCATAGCTGCGACAGGCTCGCTATGGACAAGATAGTTGAACATGGTCTCATCCCAGGTGGCTGGCCCCAAAGAACAGGAAGGGCGCATAATTTCTTTATTGCGTCACATCCATGGGATGATTCAGTCGGCGGCAGAAAGCTCGCGGGAACGCGAGCCGGCAAACAATATTACATTGCCTTTGACACCGAGCTCATCGTCCAAAGCGGCTGCCGATTGTTTCGCACAGACGAAGCAATCATCAGCCCCGACTGGATCTCCAACGAAAACATCATATGCACCTATGATGCTGTCAACAGGGAGTTTGCCTGGGTGAATCGCCCCTACGAGATCACGCGTGTGGGGTACAACAGCAAAATGAAGACCCACAAGGACCAGGACACTCCGAAGAAAGAAGCCTTGTCCAAGAGCCCGTATGCCAACGCCAGGGACAGTTTGAAGGCCTACCTCATGAGCGGCAAGTCCATTCGACCCGGCCAGATGCAGGTGACCGACTCTCCAGAAGAGCTTCCCCCACTTCTTCGTCGACGTGAAGGAACTTCAGGACCCTTTGAGGACAAAGTGACGTTGAAGATGGCCTCCTTTGGTGCCTTGTCCAATGCCGAAACCATTCGCAAAGGCAAGGGCCGGGGAAAAGGCAAGGGAAAAGGAAGCCGCCCGGGAGGGCAGGCCCAGCGCTCAACCAATGCTGAGGACTACATCTACAGCACAAAGATTGAGATGCAACAGGTCCGATGCCACTTCTGCGGCGACCAGAACATTGAGGGCACCCACAAGTGTCAGTCGTGCTTCAAATGGCTGATTGCTTGGTCGGATGGAAGAATTGCGACAGAGGTATGCCGGATGGAAATCTCGGCCAAGAAAACCAATAAGGTATTTTCTCTGGACAAAATCGATTTTGAGAAGCAGCCTCGAGCTCAGCGAGTCTCCGACCGCACCCGAGCAGACCAACGTCGAGCTGGACGAAGCAATTTCGGAAATCTCAAGGACGCTGCTCAAACACATGCGGGAAGATACACAAAGCTCGGCTTCAAATCGATCCAGGACCGCATGGAGAAGGACCCATTTTATTTGTTCAACAATGCGGTCGGCCAGATTACTCCCGACTGTTGCCAATTTTTGGAGGATTTGGCAAAATGTATTGCCCCTGATGTCGGCCGTACCCGAGAGAAGCGATAAAAGCAACTGGGAACAGGTGTCAGCACTCGATTGATTTTCATGCCAGACTTCAACAGAGACATTCGACTCCCATTGGATGTGACAAAGGAAGCCATGGTTGCTCATCATGCACGAGTTTTTACACTACCACAATTTGCTGTTCTTGCTGCGGACTTGCTGAAAGCGAGGGGGGAACCCACGCCGATGTTATTTGGTTGGTCTGGCTCTATGATGCCTGTGGATCAAGGGTCAGCCCAAGATTGCTTCTTCGATCTTGTCGACTTTGCGAAAAGGCAGTGGAAGGAGCAATACAACAACATCAAGGGTGAGGAACACTCCTTCGTTGATGAAGCCACTGCATCAGATGTGGCTGAGTTTCCATTGGCAAGGTCCTCCAAGACGGGTACTGGCGAAGGGCGAGAAGGATACCGGCGTCACTTTGACCCGATTCAGAAGCCAGCCAAGGGCAAAGGAAAGGGTTATGGTCAGCAACAGCGCCCAATCTTTCAGCAGGCCATTGAGTGCTGGAAGTGCGGTCAGTATGGCCACAAATCCTTTGAGTGCCGCAGTGGATGGAACCGAGGGCAACAGTGGGGTTCGTATGGATCTTACTCAAGCCGCTCGGGAGGGCAGGCCCAATGGCAAAGCTGGAATTGGAATCAGGGCTACTCTGGCCGAGGTTGGACTGCTGATCATTGGGGAAGATCTTCAGCATCAAGCTCCTCGGCAGCTCCTCCGGAGCCAGTGCGGCCACCATCAACAGCGACGCCTATGCCTGACGCGACACCAGCTGCTGGCGATTCTGCCCAAGCTGCCTCTGGATCAGCTACCGCAGCAGAGCCTCCACGACAAGTGCCTCGTGCACCAGTTGTGATTGCGGAGGAATACTGCGAGATCAACGGCCAGCCGCACTACAAGCGCACCTACAATGATGGGACGGTAGAGTTTGAATCTTGGTAGATGTTTCACATCTTGTGCCATGATTTTATGCCTACCGGAAGGTTTGGCCGATTGGATGAAAACTGACCCATGGTCATTTAGTTCAATCGAATTGCACACATTTCCGAAAACTTTAAATTCCAACTTGATTGACTTGAAAGCTTTCCCAATTGCTTCAAAGAAATTGACATCAGCATCCGATCCAGTGCATTAGCTTGCGTGTATATAGCCGTGTACATTAGCCTGCTACAGTAGCTTCTAAGTTTCCAGGGCAATAAAAGGAGTGGTAATGCTCCTATGCCTTGGCGGAAGCCAGGCCGATGACACTTTTGCTTTGTTCGACACGTGCAATGCCCGAGATCGTGAAAAACCCTTTTGCATCCGACTTCTTTGCCTCATGCACCCAATGAGCATAGACCAACCAACACCGGTAGAGTAATTAGGTTGCCAGTGATGATCATCGCCCGCTCTCAGGTCACCTCTGGCGGGCATGCACTCTCCGCTCTCCGTGAAACTACGGGGCGGCGGGGGGTGTTGTTTATAGGTCTCACTGTATATACATTGTACATTACTCTAATACCTGTGTTGTTATGGCTCAAGAAACAAGCGTCTAAGTGTTGTTGCTTTGTGGTTGTTCGGCCTGTAAAACATTCCTAAAAATCAGCGTTTTCTCCATCATCTGATGGTAATTAAATGTAATTAAGAAAGGACGTGTAAGCTATTTTCAGACTCATGGGAGGCCGGCATGATCATTTTTGTGTAAATGTATCATTAAACTGGAACAAACAACTTTTTGAGACTTTAGTCCTGCAATTTTTAGTGATCATGTTTGCCAGGCAACAAAATCCTTACTAACTAGTGGGTCACGAGTTAACTAGTGACCTTGCAAAAAAAAAAATATGTCAATATGTCCCCCATTTCCTGAGTTCTCCCATTCATAACTGGCTTGGGGTTGCATCCCACATGGCTCAAAAACATGGGTATAAATTATACCATATACCCCTAGTTTTCTATTGGTTTTTCTATGGAAAAATGGGTTGGCCCCACTTCCAAACGCGCCAGGCCGTTTTTTCCCTGCCAGGCCAGCCCAGTGCCTCCGGGCAGCCCGCCAGCGGAGCCCGAGTCCGCGGCGGCCGCGGCGGCGGCCGCGGCATGGCTTCAGGTTGGTTTTGATGCTTTTTGACTGGAAAAATTGATGGATTTCTGATGGGTTTTCATAAATATTAATGTTATAGTGGGTTGAAGTGGATTTTGATCGATTTGAGTGGATTTTTGTTGGAGTTGTTCACTGTCAGACTGTAGGTTCGGTGGATGAATGGAAGACGATACTCTTTCTTGATGATGTTTGGAGATTTGTGGCATTGTTTAGTTGTGACGGTGTGCCTGCAACAATGTTTGATGGGTCAACATACGCCAAAATTTGCCTTGCAACAGAGGCGCTCGTCAGGGCAACATGATCGACTTGGTTTTGATCATATCCGTAATGTCGAAACCTGCGGAAAGGGTCGAGAGTTGGGTGTGTTGGCTCAGAACTGAAATGAGGGCCTCACTTCTGGACAACTCTGTGCAGGCTGAGTCGCCCAGCCCGCGCAGACGGCAGGGGACCTCAGGACCATATCTGTAGGTTAGTCAGTGGTTAAGCCTGGTGTCCGTAAGTCAATCAGTGGCTTATCGGCTTCTTCCATTTATAAATGGCTAACCCCAGTTACTCACCAAGCTACACCCAGTGGGGTGATCCTCAACTTGCCACGGAACATCTGGACTTCGTCGAAACCGTGTGCAGGTTTCGAGTGACCACCAGCCCAACTCGGTGTAGAAGCAATGAGCGCTACACTTTGGCATGTAAGGTGCAGTTGCGGCAGGATAAGTGACCCGGGTATTTTTCATTGGATAATTTGGATATATTTGGATATGGGTCAACTTTTTAAAGATTTTAAAGCTCCAATCCTGAATTTTCCATGTGTTTTCTTGGTATGTGCTCTCCTTGCGCATGGCATTTCCGGGTGTGTCCTGCATTGCCGGTCCAGGCAGCCACCAGTGATGGAGACTATCGACAGTTATTGGAACAGCACCGGTGCGGAGCTCAAGGTGACCCCCAAAATCACCAGAAATGGTTGGTAGAAAATGGTATATGGGTGTGTCTGAAAATAGTGTACCCCTAAACCCAATGGTTAATGATCATTATCCCTATTAAATGGCTATAATTGGGAATATACCCTATTTTCAGACAAACCCATATAAACCATCGGCAAATGGTAGCTTCGTAATTGGATGTTTCCATGTTTTCCATGGGTTTCCAATGGTTTCCACATTCTGGTGGGCCATGGACAATTTGATTGGAACATCCGACCATATATGTTTGATGAGCAGATTTCAACATGGCCAGGTTGGAGTTTCCAGCAGTTCCCAGCCCCAAACGCCGAGGCGCGAAATTCGCGAACAACGCGAGGCTGCAAGACGCAGTTCGCCGGAGCGAGCAGGGACCCTGAGATCAGGCTTTCCATCACTTAATTACTTCCATTCCATAGGTATAGTATGGCATAGGTGTATTATAATATATATATATATACACATGTAGGTAGTATTACAAATCAAGTCGAATCTCATAACAATATCCCACACATATCCAGAATAAGTATGAATAAGTATAAGTTTTTGTTGTTGGCAGAGCGGCTCCCAGATGCTTTTTTCAAAAGCCCAGTGGGTTAGTCGCGACTACGACTGAGGTGCAGTGGGGCGTTTGGGCCAAATGAGGATTGCTGGGATCGATCTGTGTCGTTTTTAATGGGGGAAGCACGGTCAGTGCATCGATCTGTGGGGCTTTTTTTAACTTGGCAGTTGTGATGACTAGCACCAGCCGCATCCCAGATCATCCATGAAGCTAAATCACAGAATTCTAGATGACAATTGCAGCTATCTATACGCGAAAGAATTTGCCAACAAGAATTGGTGAGAGTGCTAGGTTTTGCAGCTAAAGTCCAGTTTTTACCATTTTTTGAATGACAGGTTTGCTTGATTTGCCTTTGAATTCCCACCTTTAGCTTCCCCCCTTTGAGATTCGACAGTGGCCAGGCGATGTGTTCACCCTTGGCAACAAGTAGGTCAGGGGAGATCCCAGCGATGGGTGAGTGCAACTTTAGCAGAATTTATACGGAGGCATTGGCTCTCAAAATCCACGGCTTGTTGTGAACAACATTTTGGGTTCACCCTGCACTCTCCAATCCCAGCTTTCAGCTAGATTCTGAGCTGCATGGCAGACAAAGTGATCTGCATGTAGTCTGGAAAAAGGGCTGCTTTGCGCAGAAGAGCTCAATTGGCGATGAGAAGGTATGATTGGACGGGGTTGAGGGGCTAAATAGTCTCCCGCTTTCTTCCCGCAACTGAGACTGCAGAGTCACTGGTGCCAAGAATGAACAATGGGTTTTGATGAGATCATACAACCAAGCGGCCCAGTTTGGAAAATGGGGATACCCAAAACTGGCCATGTAATGGGAAATATCATAAGCAGAGGAAGAATCAGGTGCACCCGGACAAACAGCAAAGGAATCTCTGCATTTCTGCATCTCTCAGCTTGGCTCAACGGGCCCCGTTCGGGGCTTCGCTTTAGGCAACCGCTTTTTATAGTCCGGAGCCCCGACGAAACACGGTGACCAGAGGTGATTGGGGAGTGTCATGGCTACTCAAAGGAATCCTGGAAACGTATCGTTGGTTTGTGTTGGTTTGGTCTGGAAACATCTTGGAGGCTGTTGGGTAGCACCCTGGCAATATAATTGGTTTGTGTCAGGCTCTGCAACTTGGGGATTGTCTAAATTCCTCTAAACTCAATCAATTTTTGACCCGGACATTCCTAGCCAAATCTGGCCATACGCTTGGTGACAACAGTCAGTTTTGATGCTTGACCTCCGTGCGGCAGGTTGCACCTCGCCATGGCTCTGCAACTTCCGCAGGACCACTTGTTATCGGATATGGGTATGGGTCAATACCTATAGATACATTTTTAGTGGGATGAACATCCATAATTCCCAGCTATGACTTGGGGGTTCACTAGGTACCAGGGTTTTGACCCATCCCCATATTTCTTAATAGCAAGCCCAGTTGCGACTATGAGTGATTCATGGTGATGATGGCAGCCCTGGGAGGCAGTGCGATGCAACGAAGCCATCATCAGAGGCTCTACCCGTGAGTTGTTGCATTTAACATGTTCGGATTGAGAGAGTTGACATAGAGTTGATATAAACCAGAGGATCGGAAAATGAAGAGAGTTCCATATGGGGGCTATTTGGACCACTTCATCATGGATCCGGGGCTACTCCCTAATCAATTAGCCAGTTTAGAGAAATTGGAGGTTTGCTGTGTCAAAGGGATCCATTTGCCAAGAAGGATCTTGACCTGTGAGTATTCACAATTCAGAAATCCTTAGTTTTTGCTTCAGATGTTTTTCCTCCACTCCCTGATCTGAACAAACGATGCTACTAGTGATATTGCAAAGGTGGCAGCATCCAAAGAGGATGGGTAAAGCCTCAAGGCGAGGTTGATGCTTCAGCCTGGGATGATTTCGAAAAATTGCCAGGCTTACTGTGGATTCGTGCAGCCTGTCATGGCATTCATTGGAAGGTTTGAAATATGTATTTCTGGTCTTCTAAAGGCTCTCAACAAAAGCGGGCACGAAACTTTATGTGGGATATGTGGGTCACTAATATGGGAATGGGTTGATTGGGCATGTTTCACTTGACCATCGGACCGTGTCACTGGTGGCAGGTCCAGCCAGTGGTTTCGCGTCTAAGGCCAAGGGGCCATTGCAAGACACGTATCACAGTTTTTTTCATGGTTTCTCCCGCAAAAGATAAAGAAAAGAATCAGGAAAGAGCTTAAAAACGGGTGTCATTGTTTCTAGAATTACTATGCAATGGGAAAAAACATTTGAATCAAGTTTTCCTGAGGAACCCACATGGAGGTTTCCCGAAGAACCGCAATAGCTAGATGGTCATAGATGGTCTATAATGGAAAATCCTCTTAGCATCCTGTTACACAAAATGGATGATTTCGGGGTACCCCCTATTCCACGAAACCTCCAGATGAATCCCGAAGCCAGGGCCTGAACGGCTCGGTGATCGCAGCTGGTGGGGCGGTAGCTCTCGCGGCACGTGTCCGGAGACCGAAATCATGAAAACCAACCGGATGGCTAGTTGATGAAGCAGCAAAATGGGGATTTATCTTTAGAGTATAGGGATATCATATAGTTTTTTTTTAAAAAAATGTTTGTTTCTATATTATATAGCAGTAGAGAGTGATTTAATTTATCTTCTAACATTTGGAGTTAACCAAGAACGCAGTGGTAGATGGCTGCTGTGGCTGGAGAAATCCAACTTGGTGTTGGGTAGTTTAGTTTTTTTAATCTTTGCCATCAATGGATGGAGGTGCGACTAGATAGACTAGCCAGCTAGAACAAAATGTTTGCAGGTACCTAAGATTGGCCATGAAATGTGGATGTTTGCCAACAAATGACAAACTTTCCGGGGGTAAATCAACAATTTGTTGAAATTGGTACCCAACGAGTCTGACGAACAAACTTGGATTGTCACATTGCGTAATTCACGACTCGAAACAGGAGATGCAACTTATACAGTAAAAGCAACCAAAGCAGGGCTGTTCACACAAAAACTGATGGTCTACTACTTCAAAGGAGAACATTGATATTCTGCGCGAAAGAGGGTCCGAAACTTTGGCACATAGCCACCGGTTGTCTCATATACTTTCCCATCCATCCCTTTGGAAATAGAATTTCCCATAAAGAATTTAGCAGTACGGACCTTGTTACTTTGATACTGTTCTTGAATCTGTAAGTTATATAAATGTTTTTGAGATAGATGATAGATCTTGATATACAATAACATTGAATATCTCACAATATACCATGACTCAAGGCGTTGGTAGTACATCCAGCACTTGACTTTTAGGTTAGTGCCAGAAAAGCCAGTCGCGGCGAGCGCATCCGCAAGTTGGCTGCAGGGCTGCGTTCGACACCCGTGTTGGTTGATGATTAGTTCAGGGGTTAATGGGGGGTTCATCATTGTTTATAGGATGTTTACCATGAAAAATACGGAGATACAGTTGACGAATGTTGGTGTATGGATAGTTCGGGCGTTATACTGCCCAACGTACTGGGGAGTATCACAATCTATTATGGGTATCTCTACCAACAGGTCAGTGTAATGGAATGACAGAGGGTCTTGCTCATTTGAGATTTGTGAAAGTAACGCTGGTGGGGAAACTGTGATGAAAGTACACACAAGATGCTGCATCGCAAAACCACACAAGCAGTTTGATATGATCGCAGATCAACCATGCACATACCGTACATAGTTTGTCCATTACAGCTCAGATCTGCGTGCTGGTCTTATGTTTTTGAATCAGATGGGTTTGGGTATCCCATGGTATGCCCAAATGTGGCTGATCATTGCAGGTGAAATCTGGGCCAAACCGAGAGCAGATCCTGGATCACAGGTTATCGGCCACACATGGCCACATGTAAATGTTGAAATATGTTGAAATACCCTCTGGTTATGACTAACATAGCCATGGTTAAGCCATGGCCCTAATCGAAATAGATGGTTTACCTATTAAAAATGGTGATTTTCCATGGCAAACCGTTAAATAACCAGATGGTATACAAACCAACTACCACATGTTTTGTTTTGGGGATTGGCCATGTGCCAGCCTCCACGTAGGCAAGCATCTTAAACTAAGACCGACATGGAAACAAGGAAAATGCAGCAATATATTATCCATACCGGGAAAAGAAACATTGATGAACAACAAGTTCCCAAATGCGAATGAAATTGTTGATGTACTTCACGCGTGTAGTGATCTTCCTCAAATGTGCTAACCACTGGATGGCATTCGTCTTCCGCGAGCTTCCTCCGGACACTCCCGCCCTCCGTGGCGTTCACTGCCGGAGAATGTTATGGTGATTGCACATATGCGAAATGGCCGATTACAAAAGAGTGGCAAGTTCACTTCCAATGAGGGCAGCAGAGTGGCACTACTTGTGAGATCTTTGTGGGGTTGACTCTGGATCTTTCAAAGGTCAGTGGCACTTTGACACAGCAGCTGGACGCAGTTGAAATCCAATCCGCGGTGGTGAGTCGGCCAGGAATGCTGCATATGATGAGGCAATCGCTGCATGATGCGGTGGGAAAGAAGCTCGGCGCTGCTGACAGTGGCGGATGGAAGGGTTGGAAGGTTCTTTCCTGGAAGTGTTGAGGCAACGCAGGGACCGTGTGGCGACGACTGTGTGTAATGCTGGAGAACATGAGCCAAGCTGTCCGAGATGCAGTGGGAGCCTTGAGAGAGGTGGTGAGCCAAGCTGTCTGACAATCAGCGTGCAATGGACGAGATTTGCCTCCGGCTGACTCATAGCCGTGCAGGGACCCGACAATCTGCACTTAGAGTGTTGATGCGCATGGCGCGACGTGGTAACGAACGAGCAATGCAGGCAGTGCGCCCATTGCTGGAAGACCGCAGGGTGAAGCAAGTTCGCCCAGCTGCTGAAACTGCAGCAGATTGAAACCTGACCGAAGGGTTGCAAGGCGAAACTGACTGCCTCTGACTGTGGTGGGAAAAGACCAGTGCGAGATCCAACAAGTGCAGCTTTAGCAAGACTTCAGTTTACGCATGGTTTCATATGGTTTCATCATTTAGAGTCATGGTTGATTCCTGCCATTTGCGGAAGCCAAGACATGAGTTCCCAGAAGTGCTGTAAGCACAATGTCCGAAACAGACACAAACACATTTCCTAAAACTAGAAGCATCACGCATCACTTGGGACGCACAGCCAACCACATGCTGACAACTATAAATGGAAAGGTTGACCCCCAAGCCCCCTTTCCACCCAAAAATATTGAGTGCTTCACCACCAGAAATCCATGGTGAAATGCTAGATATGGTTCAAAATTAAAGACCTGGGGACCACAGATTTTAGTCCATGCTAATATTAACCATCCAACCATTGGGGTACCTAGTGTTGACCCACACTCGTATGAACAATTTATCTCAATTTATCATGTTCCACCCTGCTGTGGCCATCGCATCCAGTACCAAAATTTACAACCGTTCTGGAGTCACTCAAAAAAACAATGTCAAATTTTGTTGCTGGTTTTTGTCCAGAGACATGCTGTCTGAACCCCCAATTTTGGATGGGTTACACTTGCATTTTCTTCATTAAATGGCTGTTCTGAGGACCTGCCAAACGACGGGTCGTTCGCTCGGCGGGGCTGCTGAACAACATCAAGGACGTGGACCTCCACAACCGGTGCCGCTTACCAAAGTTTGTCATTTTGAATATGGAAACCATTGGTGATAAAAGGGGCATCCCAATTTTGAAAAAAACACAAAAAAACAAAATACTGAGACATTAATGGGAACATGATAATAATTTTGGCTAACTATTCAATCTGAGACATCGCTTCGAAATACTGAAGGGTGTTTTCCCGAGATGTTAGCCACTTGTTCTCACTGGGATGATCCCGAAATGTACTCCCACATTTTCACAGATCAGGCGTTTCAAAAAAAGCAGCCCCCAAAAAGGATCCAAAAGATATACATGATCTAACAGATGGTTAATGTTAGATATTTACCACTGTTTTTTTAGTTGGATTTGCCATGATTTACACTTTTTATGCATCCTTTTTTGGGGATTTGTTGTATGGTGCCACGGTGATTTTCACCGGATTCGTCGTCGCGAATTTTCCTCGCCAGGAATTCTTTGCAAAGAACATTTCGCCAAGCGATGGAGGCTGTGTCGAGCCAGTTGATGATTGTCAGTACTAGTCTTATGTCTATTATTGTACTGACAATCATCAATGCTAGTAGTTAGTATCAATACTACTATAGATTATCATCAGTTGATGATTGTCAGTAGCAGTATAGTATCAATACTACTATAGATTAGCAATATGACTATGACTGTTATGACTGTAGTTTGCACTATTGTTAGTATTAGTATTCGTGTTTACGATTTTGAATCTACGGTTATTCCTTACGAGTATTGATCACTATTAGTAGTTGCTGTCGCTATTGATTCATATTATGTGTGTGTGTGTTGCTGATTATTGGATTGGAACATGTTGATGTTGTTGTTATAGTATTCCTGTAATGAACATAGTCATCATGTCATTGTTATATGTTGTTATGATCATGAAGATTCTCATAGTGAGATCATGGTGCTGACTTTGGTGGCGATTGACAAAAAAACACCAGGACCAAGTTTTTCCGCAGGTGCTGAAGATACCAGCGCCATGCTCTCAGCTGCTTGGTTGCTGTGGAAGCTTGTCGCAGCTGCCGCGGAGTGCGCAGAGCAGATACGAGGTTCAAACGCCCAACATACATCAAAAATCATCAAAATACCAACTTGGAGTGGTATTCTTCTTCAATTCACATGTAGTACCCTCTGGTAAACTAACATAACTATGGAAAATCACCATTTTAAATTGGTAAATCCACTATAAATGGTACATTTTCAATAGCTATTTTGACATAACCAGAGGGTATGGTTCATTCAGTTCGATTGCATACCCATAGGGATGGTCATGGATCAATCCATTGGATTGATGGCATAAACCCATCATCTATCCCAGTATATCCCATAAATCATGATAAATCCCCCATTGGTTGGTTAACCATAGATAAATATAACCCATTTATCCCATCTATCCCATGATTTCACCAACCCATCATCAAAAAAAAAACAGCATTGGTTGGTTAAATCCCCCATTCGACGATCCATTCGACTCGTCCACATGTCGATGCCACGATCGATGCCGAGGTCCGAATCCGCGTGAGTTCCAACATGTCGCGGGGGGCGCCCAGCGTTTTCGAACCTCTCACCAGCTGTCAATTGGAAGTGTCCAATGGATATTTACCCTCTGGTAAACATACAAAAAACTATGGAAAATCACCATGTTTAATGGGAAAATCAATGAAAATCAACTATTTCTATGGCCATGTTCAATAGCTATGTAACAGTCATTACCAGAGGGTAAGTATTGACCAAGAATTCACGGCAAAGGAATGGGGATATACAAGGATATGACCAACCAAAAAATCAGATAGTCTGGAGAGGACACCGCCCCGGTGTCAGGATTGGCCAGCCATTTTGCGGCGAGTACCAGGACGCGAATCGACGATCTTGGACGCTTCAGCTGATCCAAGCATTTGAAGGGTCACCATCACTGGCAGGTGATGGATTGTTTGTTGATTATATTGTATTATAAATATATATATATATAATCAATCTTTGTCCAGTTGCAGTCAAATGGGATGATCCCCTTATCAATTCCATGTTTTATCGCGAATGATCCCCTTTTTGGCTTGGTTGGTTTGGATCACCCTCAAGCAACGACCAATCAACCAGTGACTGGGGCGCCCGGCAGGAACAAAGCGTCAAGTGCAACGAGCGCGCGGTCTACAAGAAGCTGGGCCTGCCAGCCAATAGCCAGGCCGTTCCAGCGGTGGTCGGTTTCGGTTCCAGGATCAAAATCGAAGACTCATGTTTCGTCATTTGGAAAAAGTGATACCATCTGGTTATTTAACAGTTTGCCATGGAAAATCACCATTTTTCATAGGTAAACCATCTATAATGACATGTTTTTCTTAGTTTCGTCACAATTAGGTGACCAAGGAACTTTGGGATCGAAGTTTGCCCCACTCTGCCGGGCTGCCGGTTAGGCCGTTTACTTGTTGTACAACGATGCGCAGCAGTGGGTGCTCACCTCAGCCAGCCGTTCTTCTTTCCATGATGGATCAAAACTGATGGACAATACATGACAATACCATATTTGGATATAGGAAGATATATGACTGAGGGGAATAATCAGTAATATATGACAGTATATTATATAACTGAATTTGCATATATGACTGGGGGAATAACCATTCACCAGCTATGACCTAGGGTATGACTGAGGGTATTCTCAGGCCTTTACGCCCCATGCCGATGGACGCCCGGATGGTTGGGCCTTTGTTGGAGATGCAGCTGGGAGTCCCGGTGTGAAGGTGGAGCTTCTGTCCAGAAACGAATCTATTTTGGTGGTTTCAAGATATCTCATTTTTTTCTATCTTCTTTGAATGTCCAGTTGATTTGGGGAGCTGTCATCGAAAATTGAATCATAGTTGGGTTGATATCTGATACTTTCGGAGTCTGTGCGTAGCCTTATGGTCATTCAAGATAGCAATTGAACATTGATGATTTATGAATGATTTATGAATGATTTATGCATGATTTATGAATGATTTTTGGATGAATTATGGATGAATTATCTAATTAAAATGACCATGGCAAGCATGGCAGCTTCAAATCCACCGAGGCGATGGACCCCACGAGCATTGGGGGCCCCTTTAGCATCTGGGTCGGGGAGTGTGGGACGTTTTGAGCGTGGGAAGTGGTGAAATGGTGAAGACACTTATTATAGATGGTTGGCTGAATAATATATATATATGACATTATATATCTTTATATATAACATTATATATAACTTTTATGTAACTGATTGTAGATCATGGTTGGCTGAAATGATGACTGATGTTGGCGCCAGGATGGCTCCGACTGGGTGCCTGACACCACGCTGAAGCTGCAGGAAGCTCAGGACGTCCCCCAAAAGGTAGAACAGTTTTTTCCAGGTGTCCAACTTTTTTTGAATCAAAAAATGGTGGGGTTGCTGTCTTAATCCCATTCCATGAATCTCTGAAACACCCCCATTCTATGATCACAAATATGTGATTTGATTCCCTACATCCATGATTTCTTAGGGCTAGTGAATGTTAGGGGGCAGATTAATCAAACCCTAGCTAGGCCTTAGGCTGTTTAATTGGGAAATTAAGATTTAAGTATCAAATTTTCACCTCCTAATAGAATAAACCATGGTTTATTAATCCGAGGCTTACATTCTAACATATATATATATATATATTCCCAGTTCCAACCGAACATCGCCCCTACAGAAACCCCATTTGCGATTCCTGGCCCAGGCTGGGCCCGGGACAATCTGCAGAGGAGGAGCCTTCCTCGGTCGGGCAGCTCAGTGGACAACCGGACATCGCCCTTATTTTGTGGTTATTTTATGGTTATTTAATGGTTATTTAATGGGATAACAATGGGATATATCATGATATAATGATACTATCCCAGTTCATTGCGATTCAACCAACCAGAAAACATGGTGATTCAACCAACAGATCATGGGGTAGACATGGTATAACACTAGCCGCATCTAGCCGGTTTTTTTTCAGACCATGCGATAAATTTAGTTGGATCACCCTGCCCCAAAGGGTGAAGGCCCCAACTGTATGGGCTTATTCATCACCAACAACTTATCCATTTATTGTTGATGCCGATAGGATGAGATGAGCAAACCAGAACCAGTTCTGGCGTTCGGATCGCGAAGATGGCTAAATCCCACTGCAGTTAGGAACCTGAGAGCAAGAGTTTCTAAGCCCGGTGGTTTCCTTTAAGAGTCATTTTGTGTAGGTAAGTCCAGAAGCATCAGAAAGATCAGAGATCGATGGAGTGAAATGCTGAAGGGCCGCAGCCTGCGGTTTCCACAGCTGCCATCCAACAATTCTGGGTCGATCCCCAACAATTCAGGTCAGAAATAAGTTGAAGATCTAAAGATCTATTTCTTATCACATGATACAATGATACTACATCATAATATGACATGCCATTGCAATGCCATTGTACTATGCACTAATTTAAGATAATATAAGTTGTATTGTCGATTGTTATTGCCATCATGGGTATCCCATGGTTGGGTTTTAATTGCATTGATGGTTGTATTTTGATGGTAATGCTTTAAATGCTTTATGTAGTTAATCAATAGTGTATCGTTTAATACCTTGAAGCATCCCACTGGAAATTCATAGTGTATTTATTGTCATGGCTCGTTATTTCCAATTGATGGTCAACCTCCGGTATTTCCGTAAAATCATCTCCATTAACACATATTAATATAGATTGTGTGATGATTGATATTAATATTGATATGTAATATATAGGGCAATAGATATTGATTATCTATTCATATCTATTCAATTTTTTTAGGGTGATATTTTTCTATGTTTCCCCATATTCACATTATTAATGGGTGATATTATTTATTATCTATAGAACTTAAATGAGGTATCAATAGATATATCCAATAGATAGATATTATAGATATTATCTATATGGGTAATATTACTATTCTATAGATATTGATGATTCATCGATATGTCCAATCTGTGTCACGGCTTCGCGTCAGCGCTCCAGTGGCTCCAGGTCGTGTCAGCGCAACCATCTGGCCTTCAGGCGGCGCAAATGGGATAGGAAGACGAGCGACTTTTCATGGCTCACTTGGGATATAAATTTGGGTATGGATCAATACCTATTAATACCATTTTTAGGGGGATGAACATCCATTTACCAGCTATTTTGATGTTCACAAGGGGTACAAGGTTTTGACACACTGCCATTTGGCACATATATGTGTCACTATGTGTCTATATATATACATATACATATACATACATACATATATATATACACACATACATATATATATATATATGCATTATACATATATGTAAATTTATATATACAGATGTGTATATATGTATAGTTTATACAATATATGTTTATAGTTAGCGTTTTGTTGCTTAGTTATCAGGGCATGTTCACAAAATTGGGTCCATTCAAGGAGTTTCCAAATCTCCACAATAAAATACATATATATATATATACATATACACATGTGATCACATAATCACGTGTATAGCTATAGATACAACGATGTGTGGATCATACAGATGTATAGATACAATTAAACATATAGATATACAGAAGATATGTAGGTACAATTCCTTTGGAAATCATGCAAGACAAACCATGTTTTTTTTGGGGTCGATCTCCTGGCAGATACGTTTTTCGGTCAGGACATCGAGCAACAGGAAGAGGTCGCGGCGCCGGTGGTGGCGGCCCAATCGACCCTGCCTGAGGAGGCCATCCTGGTGTTAGTTTGTTAAGAAAAACCCATAGAAATACCATAGAAATATCAGAAATATATTAATTTTCAGATGGATTTAACTTCCATTTCTACTGATAGTTTGTAACATTGTAATACCAGACTGTCAACTATCAACCAAGAAAAACTGTATTTGTAGTAGGAGTACATCAGCTCTGGTGATATTACACTAATACTCACTGATACTTTGTAAAATCCTACTCCCAGTGTAGTTATTGATAGATTGTTAAGAAAAATACAACAGTAAGTAGTTGGTTTACCACGTTGTACCGCATTGATCATGATGATAATAATAATAATAATATTGATATTAATAATAACAAACATAATAATAAGAATAATAGTAATAATAATAGTAATAATAATGATAATACTAATAATAATACTAATAATAATAATAGTATATTGTATAGTAATAAAATGATGATGTTTGATGATGATGTTTGATGATGATGTTTGATGATGATGTTTGATGATGATGTTTGATGATGATTGGGGATGATTAGTGATAATGGCTTATTATTGATGATGATTGATGGTGATTAACGATGATGGTTGATGATGATGGTCTCCATGATTTTGAGATTATTATGTTGATGACTATTGATATTCGCATTTATTATACTTTATTCATATTTATTCTTATTGTTATGATTACAACATTGCTTATATGGCGTAATGGTCCTGCTGCTATGTTGTAATATATTGCTATGTTGTAATGGTGGGAGTGTAATGGTGGGGGCGTAATGGTGCTGTGACAGGTCAGGGCTTTGAGCATGTTACACTGGAAGTCCCACTGGAAAGCGTCGCAGCCCGGAGCCCGGAACGGAGGGGGCAGCCAGGGAGTTGGGTTCGAAAGTTTCTGAAGCGTCCTGAGATCCAGATATGTCATAAAATCTGAAAGAAGGAAAAGAAATGAAAGCCCGCATGATATGTTAATATACATATATATATATACATATATATATACACATATGTATCTGACATCTCTTCAACTTTAACCATGTTTCATCACAGAAGTTCCATTTGGTCAAACACAGAAACGACATGAAACGACCAAGGCGCTGCCTCATCGACTGGCCCACGGGCCCTGACGGATTGGACCAAAAGCCCCTGCCCCTGCATCCCGGTGTCCGTCCGCCACTCAAGCGACCCATTTATCACATGTTCATAAGATGTCGAGTCACGACTAAAGTGCCTAAAGCATCCTAAAATCCAGAAGTCTCCAAAAAACTCATGTATCATATGTATCATGGTACGTGTTCCTAATTTTTCCATATTTTTGAGTCACTTAAAACTCACCACGCGTTCCAGTCCCTCGCCGTGGAACCCGCGGCCGGCTTCCTTCCGCCGTTTCCGCCGCCTAACAGGTCGCGGTGTGCTCCCCAATGGACTCCGTGGTGGCCTCGGATACGAGAGGATACCCGAGAGGATACCCTGGGAAAACTGTCGAGTCCGGTGACTTTACTATCATTCATGATGAACCATTAATGTGGTAAACCATGAATGTGATCATCTAGGTAGTATTTTCATGATAGTAAATGATAGTAAATGATAGTAAATGATAGTAAACCATTAATGATGAACCTGGTAGCATTTTCATGATAGTAAACCATTAATGAATGTGGTAAACACTACTCATGTGGTGTTTTTTTATGAAAAACCATGAATTACCATGAATTTACGACTTGAATGTTGAATGAACCTGGGTGAACCTGGGAGATGGATCCATACACTTAGAACTTTGTTTTTTGAAACACTTTGCTGACCCTTTTTTGTCCCAAAAAAGTGCTGGGGATTGGGGCTGCTTGACGCGAATTCGCTGCACCGAGGCTATGTCATTCTGCGCAATGCCATGCCTCCGAAGCGCTTTGAGGCGTCGATGCATCCTGTCCCAGCTGAGACCAAAGATGATGAGGTGATATATGTATATACGTATATATATATATATATGTATGTATATATATATATACATATATATATATATGTTTATGAGGTATATTTATGAGGTATTAACATGCGTATTTGTGAGGTACAGTATGTGTGAGGTATATGTGAGGTATATATGAGGTGTATATGAGGTGTATATGTGAGGCGTGTATATATATATAACATTTATATAATGTTTATGTATATATATATATATATATATGTGAGGTATTAGCATGTGTAACATGCATCATGGATCTCCCTGATCCCTGTAGTTGATCAGGCGCACATTGAGCTGCACGTTGGCAGCATTGATGAGGACTGGGCCACTGGGGGATGTGACGGAGCCATCCAGATGAGGCCAGGGGAATCACTGGCCTTCAGTGCCAGGATCCAGATGAGCAGGGCATTGCCCATATGATGGAGCACGTTTGCTTCCTTGGGAGCCGAAAACGCCTGGGACTGAATTTGGAGATGCCAAGCATTGCCAAGCCGCCGGTTTGAAGTGGCCGGTTTTTTTCACCGTATCAATGCGGGTTTGTTTTGGAGATCATGATAAATATGATAAGTACATATAAGTACATATAATGCAGTGAATTCAGTCAGTTCTTTTTCTTAACAGCCCGAACTGCAGCTGAAAAAATACATCCCAGCTCGGTCCATGTCCCATCAATCCATTGTGGGCTTACATCGATGTGCTTAGCCCCGAAAAAACGTTTGAGGAAACAGGTTCTGACATTTATTGAAGGTGGGCTTCTGAATGATTGTGGCATCATATTATGTATATATATATATGCACAAGATCACCACTATATTTCAAATATGCATAATATCATTCTGCCCCCATTACTTAGGCCATCACCGAACCAAACAGTCAAACAATTCCATGAAAACCACCATTAAACCACCATTAAACCACCATTAAACCACCATTAAACCACCATTTTGCCGGACTCCTTCCTTTTTCTCTGAGGTGAACGTCTCATCGGTACTGGCTCGCGCTCCAATGCGCTGACGGATTTCCAGCGCCTCGCAAAAACCCCTGTGATGACGGGACGCTGTTCATCCCCAATTAGAACTTGGATTTAACATGATTTTCCCTCTGGTAAACTAACATAGCTATTGATAAAAAAGGTCATTTATAGTGATTTACCCATTAAAAAATGGTGGTTTTCCATAGTTATGTTAGTTTACCAGAGGGTAACCATCATGCATGGTGATTTGACCATCATATATTGCATGAAATTTCCTACTGGTTGGGGTACCAGTAAAAACCAACGAAATACATTGAAATAACAAAAGGTTTGGAAGGGACATCCATAAATCCCAGCTATTTTGGTGTGAAAACCTGGTGGCCAGGGTTTTGATTCATACTATTGAGATTTCAGCAACACGGTAAGGGAACGAAGGATTCAAGATCCATAAAGCCAGCGATTTTGACATGAAAACCATGGTACCTGGCTGAATTCGCTGAACCGGTTCCGAGGCATACCATCTACCACATCCATGCACCCGTGAAGCTGGAGGATGGCAGAGGTATGTACCTCCCTGCGCTCGAGGCATCGGCAGTACGGTGAAGGTAGTGAAGATGGGAGATGTGGAGAGATGTGGATATGGTACGTTATGTAGATAGATTAGCTTAGATTAGATTAGATTAGATAGGATAGATAGAGACAGACAGACAGACGGACGGACGGACAGACAGACAGATAGATAGATAGAGACTGCGTGTATATAATATACATATATATATATTACAAATAATATCGAGTCTTCTGAGACCTCTGGATGTGTTTTAAAACCTCATCCCAAATCCCGACCTCGCAGGCCTTGTACGAGATCGCCTTTGCTCCAGAGATGCTGCCGCACCGTATCGAGAAGGAGCGCAAGGCGCATCAATCCATAGAGGTTGGGATGGATCAATCCACGATTGTAAATATCGTCATTTATTATGGTCAATCCATATGATACATCCATTATTATTACAATATTATTGTCATGATTTATCCATTATTATTCTTATTAAATCTTATTAATCCATAATCATTGTCAGTATATGTCATTATCAATTCATTACAATGAATCAACTCTTCTGGATCATAATGACAACAATTATGTTTCTTTTAATGATAACAATCAACTAATAGATTACTATAGATTATGATCAATCAACTGTTAATCAAATGTAACTGATATTTCTTTAATTACAGAAGTTGATTAACAGTTGATTAACAGTTGATTAACAGTTGATTAACAGTTGATTAACAGTTGATTAACAGTTGATTAACTGTTCATAACAATCCTTACAGGACCACTTCTCCAGAAAATCGCGCGGGCCGACCCAACGACCCAAAAACAGGCAGTGCTGGCTGAGATGCAACAGGTGAACGTGTCCTGGCGAGACCGGTGGATCTTCCGTAGGATTTGGAACGACTCGTGGGTAGTCAGTGGTTGATACCAACAGTTAATATAGCGACCATAAACCATAATTAAACCACTGATAAGGCAACTGAACACTATCTTGGGGGCCCCATCCTGTACCAACAGTAATGTGAGAAATTTCGTAGAAAACCTCCAATTTATTCCAACTTTGGATCCACATGTTTGTTGGCATCTTGATGCTTGATGCTCAAAAGTAGCCCCACACCCAAATCGGCTAGATTTTCCATATCATGTGCTCGGAATCATTTTACCATGTGTTTATTTGAAGGCTTGTGAACATCCATATTTTGATGGTAAAAATCATATTTACCGGTAACAATAGTTTCACCAATTTACAGCGAATATTTTGTTGGTCATTTAAACATGCGTTGTTTCCTCTGTTATATGTACCCGGGGCCTGTTGTTGTCTAACAGTTCGACCCTGAAAACACACCAATTTTCACTGGAAACGCATCTTCCCAATCTTCCACCCCCCGAGGACCCTAGGTAGGGTCGTCATGTCAAGAAAGGGGCAGGGTATCCTGTAAGTGTAGATAGATTAGATTAGGATAGGATGAGATCAGATTAGCACTTCTTATTCTATATATTTCTATATCATCCTATAACTTTTCCTCCTTTTTTTTGGTTTTCTTTAGGCTATCGTTTAGCTATCCGTTCTTTCCATCAAGGACATGGAGTACCGCATTGAGACCTGGACCTTGAGCGGTCTGCACGAGACCAATAAGCTGGGCTCGTCGCTTGGCTCGAAGAACGTTATTGATGGTTTGTGGTGGATAATATAGGATATGTGTGACTGGTGATTAATACTGGGTTAAATATTGCTTCATATGGGTTCATATGGATTAATAGTGGTTAAATATTGGGAAATAAATGGAAATATGGGTTGATATTGGCCATTTAAAGGTAAAGAATGCAAAAAAAAATGCGTAGCTAATATGGGTTGGAACTTCATTTTCTATCCATTGAAAGAACGAAACAAAATCGTGTGTACCGCATTCTTGGACAAACCCTACATGCTGGGATGAAGATCTACAAGATTGGTGCCTAATTTGGTATGAAAACAAGAGTATGAGGGTTGACCCATGGTCATGTGAGAATCGTGGTTGGATTTTTCCACATGTTTTTTATATTTGTAATGGGAAATGACCAGTGCATCTCAGAGTTACTGTACTTCTCCACCTCGACGCAGGCAATTCCCCATCGGCAAGGAGGAGCAGATCAAAGCCTGGCAACAGAAGGACCATGGTCGACTGGTGGATGTTGGTCCTTTCATAAGAATTTTGCTGATGTGTTTTCTGGCTGATTTAGTTTAGTTTGTTGTGGTTGATTTATTTGAGATGTTTTTTATTTCAGTGGTTGATTTGGTTGATTTAGTTCTTTAAAACATATTGTTGTTGGTATTCATAGATTCAGACCATGTCTGACCATTTCGGTGGTATTAGATCTGTTACCCTCTGGTAAATTAGCATAGATCCTCAGAATTTCGCCATTTTTTGGTGGTGTCCAAGGCCGATGACTGCCGCGTCAGGACCTCCGCAACTTCCATGAGAAGTGGTACTACCCAGGCAACGCCACGCTCTACGTCGACCCCTCAGAGAGTTGAAAAACCGTTGTCCCAACAAAACCAATCCAATGATCTATTGATCTATTGGTCTATTGGTCTATTGGTCACATATATTATACTACATATGTATATATATATGAGATACGGTCAAAATAAGCGTAAACTACTTTAGTTAGGGAGGGTCCAGTTGTATCCAGAAAGTGCACCAAACCATGTAAAGCGACAGGGCCCCCCCAAAAAAGCGATAACTTGTAACCATATGAGAGTGCATTAAACTTTGTGTAAACCAAGAACATATTGTTGTGCACCTTCATGCGATGGGCAAAATTGATGAAGAAAAAAAATCAACCTGCAGTGCCCACGTTTCTTGCAGTGGCCATGTCATTTGTTGTCCAAGGTGATTGAACCGTTGCTTTCTGCAGGCAGTTTTTTTTTCTCCCAGGTCCCAAAGCAGTAGAATTAAACTAAACTAAATGACTAAATGCAATTGAATTCTGAATTATATACAGCAAAAACAAGTTTTTAATCAATTCTGATTTCCGTTTATGTTCTGTATAATTCAATTTGAAATTTGTCTTCCTTTGTTTTCTTTTTTTCTTACCTTCCTTCTCAATTAAAACTAAACGCAATTGAATTCTGAAGTAAATCAAAACTGATTTTGAATTCAATTCTGAATTCCATCTATGATTATTTGTTTCTTTTTGTTTAATTTGTCCTTTTCATGTCCTCTTTCTCTTCCTTTTTTGATAATCCTGGTGTTCTAATTTAGCGATAACCTTAGCGATAACCTAGCGATAACCTTTTGTTGAAAAAGGGACCCTGGACGAGGGATAGACTCATTTGACCTAGAATTATTGATCTTATAATATCTTATATTGGTTACTGTCATTCTAGTTTGGAGTTGAAATTGTAATAAATGTCCTTGCTTAGGAAAGAGTCTGGGAATGTGCTTAGGTAGCTCCGCAACATGGTTGCAAACGCAAAGATAACCAGCGCCCCCTTAATCCATCCCCGGCAGTTTAGAGATCTGAATCCGTGAAGCCAATTCCGCTGCATGTTTGCATTATTTAGTGTTGATTTGAATACAACACTGTAAAGCGATAGGGCCCCACAAAAAAAAAGCGATAACCTAAATTTTCGTACGAAGCATCAGCAATTGATTGTGACGGCGGCTCACAATTATATACATATACATGTATATATATATACTATAGACATCCAGGCCCCCTGGGTGGATGAAAAAAACATGCCCATGTGTTGCTTTCATCAATTCTTATTTCATGACGATGCCACTGAGGTGGTGGGCGACTTGGACGAATCGGAGATGATCGATGGCATCAAGAAGGTCGCAGACCTAAGCAGTGAAGAACATATGAAGAAAATGGGAAGAACATGTGGAGAAAATGATGTTATATATATATATATATGGTACTGATGGTACTTGAGTGCACTTGAGATTTTATGAATTCTTATGATCTATGATAGACATGTTAGACCTTTAAGAACTATTCAGTATAACTAGCATCGAAGTCCCCAAAATCGGCAAAGTGCTGGCAGATGGATTGTCCACCACAGCACTGGTGGATCTTGAAAGTGTACCTTGGTGCTTTTGCCCCGTGATTTCGACTGCTCCGGTCTTGCTGGTGGTTGAAATCCATCCCTTCAGGAAATCCATCAATTGGCTGAAAAAAGCCCTATCTTTTCCGGTGACAAATGGTGCTGCTTAGATCATTTAGATCAGCATGTTCGCTGAAATTCAATCGTTCCAACAAGATCAACAAGCGATTCCTTTTCCATCGGTCCGATCGTTGGTGGCCAGATCTTCCAGCGCTGCCAGGTCTTCGAACCAGCGACCGCCAGACACAAGTCCGAGCCCAGGGGGCGATGATGGGATTGGAAAACACATTTGTGCCAACTTTGTGCCAACATGTGCCAACTTTGACGAAGTGGCCTTTATTAAGCTTTGACAGGCTATGCCCAATGCGAGAATTTTTAAGCCGACTCCATGTTTGTTCTATGATTCTTGATGTACTTGATTGGCAAATTGTAGAATTGCACTTGTCCATGGCTCACAGTCGAGGGATGCTTTGATGGAGTAAATACCAAAGGATTTTCCTCCAATTTTTCCCTTCAACAACATATTCGTCCAAAATTTTGTCTCCAAATGTTCCCTAAACAGTCGAAGGATTTCTTCGGGGGTGGATGAAGAACTTGGGAACCTGAGAATCCCACGGTTCAGTAACAAAAAAGTTGCCATTTTTTGGTCCCACGTTCAGACACAGCCATATTTTCTGAGTTGCTTATCATATCCTCATATCCAATTTGTATATAGTTGTCACATATTAACCAGGTTAAATCAGGTTAAATCAGGTTAAACCAGGTTAAACCAGGTTAAACCAGGTTAAACCACCCTTTTTTTGGTTGAAAAACCATTAAACACCTACTAACATTGGTGAAAACCAGTGAATCCCACGGGGTTCCTCCGGTGACATCTTCCGACAGGCCTTCACCGGACAGTGCCATCATGGAGCCCGTGTGGGGCGAGGCCTGACATCTATATACTAAATATATACAACTACTAGTGTGTATATTATATATATACACAGGTATGTATAAATATATCTATTTATCTATATATATATATGTATATACATGAGACCCCATATACTTCATACAGGTAGAATTGGATAGATGATATATCATGCTTTAGTCCTGCTCAGATCCGTTTCACTCGTTAAGGCCTCTGCAGACGCCAAGTCCCTCTTCCGCCGGAAGATCGCCCGAGATCGGCCCGAGCAGCTGCATAACTTCAGTCAGTGGCACTCAGCAGCCACTAATTGGGTAGTAGTTCATTTGGTCAATGGTATATTACCCAATATAAATCGGCCGACTAATAGTTCACATAGTTGGATTGTAGTATATTATATATATATATATGGATTGTATATATATATATATAGTTATATTGCGATAGACTTGGGTTAATAGTAGTTCATATAGTTGGGTATTTTTGGTACCAAATTACCCGTTGGCCTAGTTGTTTAGTATGGCGGGTTATAGTTATACCACCTGTGGACATGCGCGGAGCCATCTTGCTGGTGTCCGAGCTGCCAACGCTTGAGGTTTGCCCATGATTGGATCCGATCATGAATTCACAAAGGCCCGGGGGGTGCGGAAAGATAGCCCAATGGCCCCTGTTGAGGGGGGGGTCAACAAGCTGAGGTCATTTCTTAAAGTGCCTGACCCTGAAGGAGTTTGAGAAGCAATCCCAGTTTGAGACACAAGATCTTCGGCTTCACAATTCTGATCCTGGTGTGCCAGGCAGCAGCTTTTGACACCAAGAGTGGTGGCAAGCCTGGGGGCTCAGTCACAATCCAAACTAACGTAGAGACGTGGAAAATCCCACCATGAAAAAGTAGATCATGGAATCATATGGAAATATATTATGGAATCTTTTCGGAAAGGAAACCATGGATTTCCATAGATGTCCCATCGATTTCCGCAGTTTTTGCTGTTTTCCGCCTGTTTGGAGGATCATCCTCTCAACAGCTGAGGCCCTGGCACGGACCTCTGCGTATCTTCCGCAACGAGTTGTTGGAAGGTTTGCAGGTGCGCAAGGGCCTAAAAAAGGGCCTAAAAAAGGGCCTAAAAAAGGGCCTGGTCGATGGGAGATTTGAGCTGATTGACCGGCAAAATGGATGGTGAAAAGTTGGTGGCGAAGGTTTTGATGCTGAACATATGCCACCTGAGGGATGGTCTACACCATTTGGATCCACCGTCCAAAGAATGTCCTTCTATGACAGTGTTTTTCTTGCTGGCCAGCTTCAACTGCGAGACTAATTTGATCTAATGTGCATTTAACAAATCACCAACTCAAATTGTAAATGAGGCAATCGCGCTGTTTTTTGTTTTCTTGATGTCTAGTTTCAAGCTCCCTATGGAGCAAATGGGACAAGCCCAGTGCCCGGCAGCTGAACTTCTACGCGAAGACCCCGGTGCGGCCACTGCGAACCTACGAGGACCTGCAGTTGGTGAGATCCTAGAAGGGGGTACCCTCTGGTAAACTAACATAACTATGGAAAATCGCAATTTTTAATGGGAAAACTCACTATTTCTATGGCCATTTTCAATAGCTATTTTGACATATCATAACCAGAGGGTACCCATAAATTTGATGGTTCATCATGGTTCATCCCCATTTTCTCCTTGAAACTGGAGCGTATGTGTTTGCCTATAAAATCGCACATTCCCAGAACGTCTCAGGACTAGAATCGTCCCCACAATGATGATGGTGTGTGTATATATATATAGATATGATATAATACATAGATAGATATAGAAACCAAACAGGGGTATAGATATATAGATATATACATGATAGCGGTATAGCATCTACGAAGCGCCTTTTTCAAGAAACACTAACCTTTGTGCCGATAAGTTCGAAAGCATCAAAATCCGAGACCAATTCATCAACCCAAACCACTGTGCAACCATGACCTGAGATGGTTCGAGGGCAAACTCTTGGTCCCGTCATAAAATTCTTGGATTGCTGCTGTATGAACTGGGAAGAAACGCTCAGATAGGAAATGGAGTTCATACTTTTGTTGTCGTGACTTTAATTTTCAACCGTTCTTGGAATGACAACGGTAACATATTTTCCTGCAATTTTCTTAAGATTTTCCCATGTTTTCCAGGCTCAACCAGCATTGTCTCACCAGGATATTCGCAACCTGGTGGCTGTCCGCATCCTCGTCGGCGTCCTGCAGTTCCGCATCGTCTCGCGCTACAGTTCCAATCATGTGCGCAGCTGCAGAAATGTTGGACTGGGAAGATTGTGAAGATGGCGTTCACGTGGGTTCCTATCAGTAGATGATGGTAATATGCTTAACATAGGTTCGCGGAGTAGAGATGATCGATGTGGACAAGCCGTTGCAGAGTTAAAATTAACAGAATAGAAGCAAAGTTGCTCTGTGTTCTCCCACTTGAATTAAAGTGGGAGCTGCAAAAGGGGGGTACTCTAGCAACGCTTTGGCACCCCGGAACTGCAGGGAAAGAAAGCAATGCCATTTGGAGCACGTGGATTTCATTTCTGTTTAACAACATTTTGGATTTTCGAAAGTCACAAAATCTCATGAGTCGTTGAATCAGATGGTTCAGTCGTGTGATGTCCATTTCACCGTAGAGGCGCCCGTGCAGATCGATCACAGCGATTCATTCCGTGAAGGATGTGCGGTTTGGATCCTCGGTCAACGGATGCGGTTTGGATCAACGATATGCACCAGTTACATCCAGTTACTCTACTGGTGGCTGACAGATTTCCGGTTGACATACTGTAGATTTGCCACTAGCAATGGTGAGTGAGCCACTTTCAGCAAGTTTTTTGGGGGGGATTCTCTGAGGTTCAGTACTTAGCCAGGTGGTTTGCCCTGCTCTTTCCCAGGTAGGTTTCGACTTTTTACACATACAATATGCTTACGGCTCACGTAATCGTAGCTATATATATAATATGTGTGTGTACATCATTATATATCTATGTATGTATATATATATAATTATATATATAGTAAATGTGGAAAACATAATTATGGGAAAAATGCCAAACAAATTCCCGTGATAGACAGGAGGTCGCCTGTCATTCTTTGACTTGTTTCCCATAATTCTTTCAACGACTGTATACATGGGTACATACATCGCTGGAGATGACTGTTCTCTTCGAGGTGGGCATTGCTGGAAGTGGCTTCAAACTCATTCTTCTGCAAATATAGTTGGCATGACATGTCATGCCATGGCATTAAATAGATAGATTTTTGATAGACAGGTAAATGATGGTAAATTTTTATACAACATATATTTATCATAGTTGTTTCATCCTCTCCCATCTTTCCTTTCCAAATTTCAGCTCTCAACCCCAACAAAGGTGACCTCCATCACCGTGAACGCGGACCCCAGGGATTGGCGAAATGCCTTGGCCTGCGTGGTGCAGGAGGCGGCCTGGCCGGTTTTGCCACAAAAAAAACCAAGGTGATTTTCAACAAAGATAGTGGATGGATAAATAGATAGATACTATATGATACTATCCATAATATCTATTTATACCAAGATTGTTGATATTTTCAATACTAGTAGCAAGATGATGATGGTGTTATACCAATAATAGGTGTTATACCAGATCATTAGGTGTTATTATTGTTCACCAAGATTGTTGATGCCAGGCTTGATTTTCAAGCCTGCCAGATCCGCGCCATTTGTGACTATGGCATCACCGAGAGCGAAATGAAACGCTATATGGATGCCATGCTCAAGGACCGGTGACTGGATCACTCCCTGGTGGTTGATGATTGAGGACAGTAAATCATTCAGCACAGAAAAGAAGGACATGTTTTCGGAGAAAAAATTGAAGATTTGGCCAGCAAGAATTGCGGTCTGCCGGGACAAAATATGGCTATGGATCAATACCTATACATACCATTTTTAGTGGGATGAACATCCATTGACCAGCTATTTTGATGTTCACCAGGGGGATAGGGTTTTGACCCATCCCCATATGACAAAATGCGGATTTGATATACAAACATGAGGATTTTACCTGCAGCAATTTGCTGAAATAGTTTGCCTTTGCTCTCATCCACTGGGAATCCCAAGGTTCTATCCTTCGGGTGTGATTCAAGTCTGTGGGCATCGTTTTTTTTTGCCAGAAACGTCCACTTGTTGGGGATTTCCCAGCCAGTTGGAGGGTAGATTACCCACAGTTAGCTGGATGGACATGGACATGGTACCAATGGTACCAATGGTATCGCTTGGTAAGTCCCCAGCTATGGGTCTGAAATGGTGGATTTTGTTTCCAAATGGCCATTGAAATATGGGGAGGATGATGTTTGAGATACATACTGTATATATATATGATATATATATATGCTTATATATATATGCTTATATATAATTATATAATATACTATAATATAATACTATATTATACTATACTATACTATATTATATTATATTATATTATAATATATATATATATACATATATATATATATATATTTGGAGCGCCCTGTTTTCAGACACCCAATTGTTTCCCAAACTTGGAATACACCAGGGTACCTTGCTGCTTTCCTTGAAGGATCACCAGTAACTTGGATGAACCACGATTCACCATCATCAACCATTACTCACCATTATTGGATGTTATTTCATTGAGTTAACCGTCTGACTAACCATTATTCATCATAACCAACCCTCAAAAACTTACAGTATCTTCTAGTGTGTATGTTAACCATCATTAACCATCATTAACCATCATTAACCACTACTAGTCATTATATAAGCATCATAAACCTGTCACCATTCGGCAGGACGTGCAGAAAGGGGTCCAAGAGAACGACACGGTGCCCTCCGAGGCGGCGATTCTGGCAGGGATTCTTCTCCTTGATCTATGATGGATTTATGATGGAATTATTCTTGATTTATGATAGATTTTCGATGATCTATGAGAGTATAGTTAAGATTGAAGTATAGTTGATGAATGTTGATGTATGATAGTTAAGTTGGTGAAACTTGAACTTGGTGAAGAAAGTGTTCGGTTGATTTGGGGTAGATAACAAACTGGTATTCGTTGGCGACACAACCGAAGGGCACCACCTTGCAGGGATGATTGTTGCCCCTGTTGTCCCTGTTGCCCCTGTTGCCCCTGTTGCCCCTGTTGCCCCCTGTTCTCATGGCATTGGATGCAAGGATGGAGATTGGTCCCTTCTCAGTTGTCTTGTGAGTTGCATATTCGGTTTCTTCCAACGTTCCAAACCTGAATTGAGTTTGATGTTTGTGATGAGTCTTGGTCTCTCATATGGGAACTTGTACTGTCTTCTTTGTACTCGTGACATGTTTTGAAAGCCCCCCCACCACCATCTATGTGGGCATGAAATGTCACTTGGACATGTTGGAAAAGTGGCTTGTCTCAAAAAAGGGTACTAGAAGATCCTATGGAAATCCATGGAAAATATGATCCAATTACTAGATGAACCATACCCATTTTCCCATGGTTTATGATCATGGCAACTTCCCTTTCAAGTTGCCATAAGTTGGGAACTTGGGGGTATACGGTATACCACATGTATAGACAAACCCGAGGCCAAATAGAAGAATCCCACCATTTTCTATTTTTTGTACTGCTTTCCATACATGTTCACCTGCACAATCGCAACCTGCAGCGTTTTTTTCCTTCCTGAATCTTTTTGAACCAGAGATGTTTTCCATTGATATGACTTTTCTGGATGTGTTTCCTTCTTTCAAGTGCCATAACGTGGGGTATTCCCCATATTGACCAGGATCACCTGAACTTCATCATGACCAGTGATGTCTTCGACCATGCTGGCTGCCTAGATTCGCAACCGATGCCAGTGATATCAGTGATATCTCCTGATTTTTGTGTATTGTAAATGTTGGATGATGTTGGATCTGTTTTTTGATTCTTGTTTGATTATTTGTCAAAATGTTTTTAGATAATTTCGGTGCACATCAGCTGAATGCCCAGTAGTTTGCGAAACAAACGGAGCATCCCGCGGGTTGCTGAGATCGTGATGCACCCTGAGCAGTCCTACGGAGCTTTCAAAGAGGCTCCCGGGGTTGGGGAGCGGCGCGAGGTCCCTCAGATCACCAGTTTTTCATGGGGGGATGGATTCACACCTATGATGGAACCCATCATGTTGCATCAATTTTGGTGATGAACATCCATTTTTCACATTTGCCATCCATGATTAAAAATGGTGATTTTCCATAGTTATGTTAGTTTACCAGAGGGTAACATCCATTTACCATCCATTTAAGTCATCCAAGCCGGCTATAAAAAAAACGCTAACGCTGCCCAGGTTGCTCCCACCGTGACTATGGAGCAGGCCAGACAAGTGTGGTGATGCTAGGGGTTTGAGGGGAGGAAATCTAAGTGGAGAAAATGGCTATGAAAATGGATATTATGTTGACTGTATAACAAGATGAAGGAGAAGAAGAAGGAGAAGAAGAAGGAGAAGAAGAAGAGGAAACAACTGCCACAAAAAGAAACTGACCGCAAGAGCAACGAAATGAGCCAAAGCGGACCTGGGAGGAGTCGAACCTCCAAAGCAATGTTGATTGATGACTCGGCATCAAACACACAACGCCGCATCCAATGGGCAACAGGTCCTGCCAACTTGGCAAAGGAACATACATTTTGATGTTCATTCACACCAGTGTTTTTGTGGGTATTTATAGAGTATTTATAGAGGAGAAGCCAGGAATTCCCAGGGAATTCCTTACCACTCCAATTCGCGTTCCAAGATGTGGTCAGAACATTTACGTGACGTAGCTGAAGGTTTTTTTTCTGCCACCTGCTGGGATCTTGGCCGAAGAACACGAGCTGTCTCCATGGTTACATCTCCAACAGAAGTTTTACACCGAAGCGGCCGCAGAAGTTCTATCTGTAATCATTGGTGTTTTATTGGTGTTTGTGGTCATTTCTTGTGACACATGGTTGTGATTAATTTCTGGTTATGACTGTTACAGTTCGCCATGGTTAAGCCATGGCCCTAATCGAAATAGATGCTTTACCTATAAAAAAAAAATGGGTGGATCTTTCCATGGCTATTGCTGTTAGTCATACATCACCCGATGCTACCCCTTTCTGCTGGCTCCACGGTCCAGGTCCATGCCACGGCCAAGTGGATGTTGGGCTTCATCGGGTACTACGGCCTGGCCGCTGCGCCGCCCATCACGGCCATCGTGGTGTGGCTCGGCGCATGAGATGATCAGATTCCAGTGATCTTCTAGTGATTACGATTAAGATCGATTGAGTAATGTTAAGTATCCATAGGTCCATAAGTATCCATACATATATATATAATTATATATCCCAATTTTGGAGATTATATATCCAATTTCGAGCCATATTACGGCGGATTTATGAGAAAATGCAGGGAAAAGCTATGGGGATGGTTGCTGGAAGCTCCCCTCCATCTGCCCGAGTGCAGGTGCCAAGTATCTGCAATCCCATAAGACCAACATGGAATCCAAAAAAAATGGCGGATTTGAAAGACATTTTTCTATGAGTTTCTGAGTGATTCCCTATTGGCCACTGGCATTTTTCGGATGTTCCATGTTAAAATTCCTTCATGTCGGCCACGTTAGCCCCAGGTGCACACCCACCCAGGTCTATGAGGAGCTGGGTAAATCGTGGCATGACTTGACCCTATCGTGACATGATGGCCGGTAAGGGAAGCTAATAAAACTGGTACCATCTGGTTATGACTAACATAGCCACGGTATATAGATGGCCCATAGAAATAGATGGTTTACCTATTAAAAATGGTGATTTTCCATGGCTATGTTAAATAACCAGATGGTATATTATTTTTGTTTCATGGAATTTCAGGCTTTAGGAATTGATTTCTCCAGATGGGCCACAGATTCAAGATGTCGTTGAGATTGGATTGGAAAGGATGTTGAAGAAATTTGGGGAGTTTGACCAAGTTGGGTTTGAGGGAACATAGATTATGATAGGTGTCAGAAAGACATCATTGTTCTGGATAGTCGGACAGTTGATTTGGGAATGGATCAGGATGATCAAGCATGGTCAAAACCGTTTTTTTTTTCAGAGGATGAACATGACAGAAATCCCAGCGATTTTTGGTGTGAACGACAGGAGCACAGCGGCAAGTGGGTAGGAAGCCTCAGGGTGACCCATGGCAGTGGTACAACAAGAAGCGCAGACACAAAGGAGACTTGGGGATCCGTGATCCCATTTAGTAGATTATCCCAGTTACAACTGGGTTATAACTGGGTTATAACATGTTATAACCCCCACTGACCACCAAGTGGGATGATCCTCCAAGTAGACTATGATCGAATGGATTCAACGTCCAGTTCTTTGCAGCGGCTTCGGAGCATCGTTCTGATTCTCAGAAGTGGTTGAAGGGAAAGTGGCTCACCACGCAACCCTGAACATCCCCAAACGGTTTGAAGGTTCTAAGCCAGTCATTGGTCCTGGGTCCATTCTATGATTGGTTGCAGTTTAAATGATCGGCTCCAATTCGGGTATTCCCAAGGAGTTGGATCCATCTTTCATTGCTGATTGATGCTTTCAACTTTCAATTTTCAAATATTGTTTCGTATTCCATCCCCAGAACACGAGGATGGGGGACTTTACCCTGGCCAACATCTCATTTTTAGTCAGATGTTTCTTCGGGTAACTCAACCAAATCTCAGAATTTTCCTTTCATTGGAAACTTTTGGAAACTGGATTCCCATATATTCCCATCATTCTCATGGTTATATCAGTAGCCCACATTTCCTGGACAAAAAATCCCAATCAATTCCCATTTTTTTTATTTTTTTTTAATGATTTAATGCATGTCCCATTTCCCTCAGCTTCCTCAGCTCCCTCAGCTCCCTCAGGTGCCCTTCAGCATCACGGAGCAGGAGATCATCGAGCTACTTCTATCGGTCCCAGACAAGACCAAGGAGGAAGCCTTGAACCAGGCGCCGGAGGGCCGTTGGGAAATGCCAAAAAAAAAAATCGAATTGACGGGAAATGATGGTCCAAAACAATCATATGACCATTTGTGTAAGTTTACAGTAGTACATAGTAATATAAACCCCGTTGGTAGCTCCCAGCTGAGATCTAGGAGCTCCAGCCCCTGGGGTGCATGGCTATTTTTTTTTTAGCCTTAGTAAAAATGACGATAGGTCCCTTGATTTTATCTGCAGACATGCTAGATTTTATCTCGATCATAAGTGTGAGATAAATTCTAAGAGGCTGGACCCCCCTAGGTCCCCTCAAGGGTACTCGCTTCCAAAGAGGACCCAAGGGGGGGGTCCAGCCCCTTGGATTTTATCTCACTCCAATTTCAGGTCAGGCACCTTGATTTTATCTTTGGAAGGTTGGGCTCATTGAATTTTATTTTCATCCTACTTGAGATTTGGTACCTATCTTATATTTTCAAAGGTTCAGCCCCTTGATTTTAGCTCCAACCTACTTTGATTGCAGTTCCAACTGTTATTTGGTGAATCCGGCGCTGAAAAAAAACGATGGCTAAAATCCAGGAGGTCCATGGTTTCATAAGATTCACAGGTAAAACATGTATGTCCTAAATATTCACAACATGCCCAAAATATTTTGAGGGGCCTGACCTTTGATCATTTTTGAACGTCCAAAATGCTCCAAAAGTATTGGTTCCCTTGTCCAAGTTGAGTGTTAGCAAAAATGTTTGGTTTACGAATGCTAGACTTGGGCCCCTAGATTTTATCCATTCAGAAATGCTCAAAAGGGGTATGGGGGGGTCAGGCCCCTCTGGAAAACAGCCACTGGGGTCTACTATTTCAGGGGCTGGACCCCCCCTAGGAACAACCAACCCCGTTTAATATATATATATATACATATATATATATATATGTATATATATACGTATATATATATACATACACATTTGTAGCTCCATCATGGCCCCCCACCCCAGGTTATACTTTTTTGCTATCCTGTATCCCATTGCATCCCCAATTTTTTCGGAGGTCACGCACGGTTTTCATGGTCAAAACCACCATTTCTGAGCGCTGTGCACATTTTCAGATATGGCTGTGTCTGAAAATAGGGTATACCAAGTCATAAGGAAAAAGGAAATTCGATTTACCATTGGATGGATGGATTTTTTCCCATCGTTTCCCTCTCCAGACAAAACCATAGGTCGACGTGCCGGAGAACCTGCTCTCAGGACCTTGACCTGGGATTAGAGGCTGGAACTTATCCTCTTAGCCCAGTCAAAAAGATTATGGAAAAAGGCTTGAAAACACCTAGCGATTGAGATTTTAGAGTCCAACATTGGGTAAGTTAATCAACAAAAAGGTGTTTACGTATTATATATATATATAGATTTATATGAATGCCAGTTAGATAGTAAGCCGGGAATAACCATCTTATATGCCATTTATATATGGAATAGCCCTACTTAGATTAATCACTTGTTATCCAGTCACTAACTGGCATGCACATCCAAATGTACCCTCAGGGAATCACATTTCAAATAGATAAACAGGATTGAATAGGACAATCATCATCATCATCATCACCACCACCACCACCATGTGTATGTAAATGTTGGATTTCCAATTCAAGATTGCCACATGAAGTTACCGGAAAGTAGCCATGTAAAACTGTGGTGCAGTGAGGCATTGACCAACAAACAATTGGTTAATGTTTGGTATACTAACCAATAAACCCAATAAACCCGAGGGAATGGTGTTTGAGCTGACAAGGGAATAGAAGTTGGTGATACAACCTACATGGATGGTGAGATCTTGCGGCTTCGCCTTAGCAAAGACGTGGAAAAGGAGAGAAGTTGGAAAAGCTGTTGCCTCCAAATCCCATCGATGTCAGGGAACCCAATGGAGCTGGTCCAGTCCTGCATTCAAAAACGACCCCCATTGGAGGTTTCCTAAAATGGGGGTAAGCCCAATAGCTGGATGGTTTATAATGGAACATCCTAAAAAAAAATGGATGCTTTAGGGGTACCCCTATTTCAGGAAACCTCCTAATGATGACGATAAAGGTCATCTTGCCATTTGAATACTACTTGAACATTGCAACTTGCGAAATCCATTGGCTGTGGGAAGTCGTTTTCACGACCATCTGGCAATCGGACCCGGGAATGGAAACTCTTCTTTGTTAAATGGACACTTATCTCAAAATTTTGGAGTTTCCATTGCCAGGTTTGTTGACAGATAGCCTGACATTCCTCGAATCTCACTTGGATTTGTTATGATTTGTTGGGGTGTTTGTTTACTTCCTACTGGTCGGTCAATCCACAACTGTTGGATCACACGGAGAAGCTTTTGTGAAGACGGTAAAGTTTGTTTAGGCCATCTTGGGCAAATCCAAGATGGGAAGTCATTCCAATGAAAAGATTGAACCTCATCATCCAATTCAATAGCTTCCCTGTTCACAGAAATCATCTTGCGGATTTTAGAACTATCAGCGATGTAGTACAGAAGAAAATTCTATTACCATGAAGCACGGGAAAATCAGTCGAAATTCAGAAATGCCATTCTTACATCCCAGAAAATATCAGTAAAAATCAAGATCAATCAGCAAAATAAGATAGCTTTAAAACAAAAAGACACGGTAAAAATTGAAAAACAACCAAAAACGGCAAAGATCAGTCAGATTCGGTAAGAATCCACAGAAATCGATGGACAAAAACCAGCATAACCCAGGCCATGACTGCTTGGAGAGCCGCCTCGCGAAAGGTGCCGGACATATTTGGTCAAGTTGCCAGGGGCTGTTTTCCCATGTTCAAAAATATATGCTAAATTGGTAAATAACTAGAAATTTCCTAGGATTTATCAATGTTTATCAGAGATATATCTTTAGTTCCATGGGGTATCATGGGGTTAACAAACATAGCTGGGGGGATGGGAACGATGAGCCAGTTCCGAGGTGGACGACGTCACGGGCATCGTGCAGATCATGCTCCCCAATGGAGCACGGGCCAATCGTGGCCTGTTGTGGTGGAGATGGATGGAGAGGGTACCCCCAAATGGATGGTTTTTGTTGGAAAATCCCAACCACAAATGGATGATTTATGGGTCCCCACATGGATTGGAAACCTCCATTTGTTGGAACTCCAGGTGGTTCTTGGGTTTATTTGGTTGGTTTATTCCTTTTTTCTTTACATTGTCACGAAATTTTTGGGAGAACTTCGCCGATTCACCAGAGTTGATTCATCCGGGGCATTACTGAACGGTGGCCAACACTTTGATCTAATTTGTGAAGAGTTTTTTGAACATTTTACAGTCGTTCTGTAGCTGTTTGCTGATTTCTGGCCGCATGGTCGAACTGCCGGACCTATTCCACTCGCCAGGTGAATTATGCGTGCACGCCCAATGAATCTCAAGGAGGGTCAGGGTTGGAATCACGAAAATTGCGACATGGAGAGCCTCAAACGTGGATGGAATCAGATGCGCACCTGCCCAAAATATCCCAAAATCACAATGACACTTTTTCGGCTTTGGGATAGGATTCGGACCAGTTTGATTCTTCTCTGAACCATTTGTTGAAACCCAATTATGATTTTGAGGGCTACTGAAACAGCCGCAGGAACCATGCGGATTTTGGTGCCGGGTGGCCGTGTGGGGACCTCAGACTCTGCCACCGCCACGGCCCTTCGCCAAAGCGCAGTGACTCACCGCTGCAGTCCTCCGACGAACCGGACGAGTTGGGTTCAGCCATGGTGGGCATCAGGTCATCCCATGGGAATCCTGGGATGGTGGGATCCCATGGGGGATCCCATGGGATATGTGCAATGATGTTATTTGGCATTTGAAGATTCAGCCCATGGGATGTTGGAATCAGAGCCCGACCAGGACCATCTCGGAATCTGGAGCTGTGCGCATCTCAAGAATGTGAAAGGGAAAATCACCATGTTCAATAGGCAAATTATATATTGATTTTTAAATGGACCACTTTTCAATAGCTGTGTGTAGTGTATAGCTAAAATTACCCGAGGGTACATCTCAATTATCCATGATTTATCCAGTATTGTTGGTTATTATCCAATATGAACCATTACTGACCATTATTAACCATTGTTAAGCGTTGTCAGCCATAGATCAACCATAGATCAACCATAGATCAACCATAGATTCACCATAGATTCACCATTCAAAATGGCCTTGTTCACCGTTGTAACCATGACCTCAGGCGCAAAACCCCTGAGGTCAGCGATTTCAGCCGCGAGCAGATTGAGCTCTTTGCCGTGTCCAACCTGATGAGCGTACACCTGGTGCGCCTTGAGGGGAAAATGGGGAAAATCCGCCAATTGTTGTGGCAACATATGGCTGATCTTTTTATGGAAAGCACTGGAAAGATGGGTTTTGATCTGGTTTCATGAAAACCACTGTCGGACCTGGAAAAAAGTGGAATCATGTTGAGCGTGATGTCCCAAATGGGGTCAGATCCTCATCGCAAGTGGATTTCAAACCGAGGACCTGAATTTGGAATTCTCCTACATCGATGCCAACTTCACCAACACAACTGGAGGCGATGTTTTCGTTGGGTCTGTTTGGACAGGTTTTCTGCAGGCATTTTCGGTGGATTTGGTCTTGTTAAACTCCATTAGTCGCAGCAGAAATTTGAAGATTTGCGAACCTCGAAATCCAAACTATGGATTATACTGTAGGGTTCAACATGGATTATACATGATTATACTGTAGGGTTCAACTATCTAACTGATTATAGTAGAACATAGTAGAACTATCTAAAAATGATCTTCCACTGGATGGATTTTGCTCCCAGGTCTCAACGCAGCCAGGCCCTTGGCCGTGACCAGCAAACTTGGAATTGAGCCACAGAAGATGTGGATTTACAAACTGAGCACATCTAATCTAAACCTCCAGATTTTGTTCTGTGATTCTTGGGATAAAAGTCCGTGCCCCGGTGAAAACTGACAATCGCGAGCAGTCAACCACCAAGGTTTTGGAACTTCTGCATCTTCTTTTCCAGGCAGTGCTGGAATCTTTGGTTGATGAACCGTCGATGAACTCCGATGTTGACATGTCACAGTATTTGTTCATACGTTTTTTCCAAGCCCTGAAAGAGCTTAGGGAAAATCATAGATGAAACATTGGTTTTAAACCTAAGCCTCATAATGGTTTTAATTGGTTTAAATGGTTTTTAAAGGGTTTTAACCTGTAGAAAAATACTGGATGAAACCTAAGCCTCATCAGGAGCCTCGCTGGGAAGTTCCCGCATTTGTTCGGGCACAGCAGGCGTACAAGGTGCGATTGTCCGATGGCAGTGGGTGGCCGAACAGCTCCAAAACATCCTAAAATGGGGAAGTGGATATGACGGATATGGATCTGAGATGAAAATCCACCAAGAGTCGACTTGTTCTTGTGGAATAATGTGGACATTTCATATTGATCGGCGGTTTGGGACGTGAACGACCAGGTAAAACTAGCTGCATGGTTAAAGCATCTGAAAACGGCTCTCGGCCATGCCAGCCATGAGGCAGAGTGGCAAGTACAGCTTCGGTTGAACTTTCCAGGTTTTACCCTCCATGATTTGAGAGCAACACTCATTGTATCATGGTTATCTGGTACTCGTATCTTGAGATATTAAATAGGAAAGGTTTTGAGTCCGAAATGGATTCAACATGCCAACCAACATTAGTGTTGTTGGTTTAGACTCAGATTTTTTGAGATGATGATCCCCTTGTTGTGGTTTTCCAACGAATGTTTTCCTCTCTCGTTCCGTTTTCGAGGCCCAGGCCTATGCAGTGCAGAAGTCTTTGGCCCGGGGAACCCAGCCACAGAAATCCATGAGGCAGCCATGAATCATTCGAAAAATCATGGATGTTGATATTAAATATTGTTTAATGATGTTAAATGTCTATAAGATTCTATAAGTCATAATGTGATGAGATCACATATGGACATATAATGACATATATAGATGTAATGAATCAACTTTGATTTACCATGAACAATATGATTACAGTAACATGTGATCCCATGAATATCCCGTTGTATCAATCGAGGAGCAGAGCACCATGGATCGCTTGATGCGGATGATGTACGCCGTGATGAGCTGAGGGGAAACCATCACAAAGGGTACCCCTTTCTCGCTGGATGGTTTCATAGAAAATCCATGAAAATCCAAAAAGAAAATGGATGAGAACTAGGGGTACCCCCATGACCCCATGACTTTGGAAAGCCTCATAAGAGGGATATGAATGGATATGAATGGATATGATGGGGAGATCATAGCAGAACAGCCTACCGGGACGGTGGAAAACCAAGGATCCACGGGTTTCAGAAGCTCTGGTGGAAGACTTGAACAAGCTCACTCTGGCAAAGGCCCCTTATGCCTGGTCAGATTTCCAACCAAATGCTGTTTCAAGAATTTTGAACGTAGAAAGTACAGAATCATACGGAATCATACAACTATGTTTTAATTAACGTCTGGTTTCAAACATGTGTTGCTTTTCCCACCATGGGCAAGCGGGCCGCAGGTTCGGAGAGCGGTTAGCGGTCAGTTGAGACCACAGGCTGGGGATCCCGATTCATGCGGCCCAGCATGTTGGAACATTCATGTTGGCTAGGGGACATCCATAACATCCATAGGAACATGTTTTTCCATATTGTAATACATGGGATGTCATCCTTCCCATTGACTCATATTTTTTAAGATGGTTAAAACCACCACCACCAAGCAGATCAACCAGGTTATTATTAACCATTATTAACCATTATTAACCATTATTAACCATTATTAACCATATATTAGCCATATAATAACCTCATCACCATCCCATAAGTCCCCAAAAACAACTGTGGAATCTCCGTCAGGACTTAGAGATCAACTTGGTGGCGGACTTTGAGGGTCGTGGCCACAGCAAGATGCAAGGCGTGGATGGCTGGGCCATGGGCCATGGGCCATGGATGGAACCGGTGGACCATGGGATTAATGTGGATTAATGATGGATGAATATTCATGAAATGGGTGATCACTACATTACGAAAGCCAGCTAGCTGGCTAGTTGCTGTTTGCGAACGAAGTGAGAATAGGGGGTGTGGGGGGGGATGGTTGCCGAAAGGGAACAAAATCTCGCCGTGCCCCTGTGTTGAGCGCCAGAAAACGGAGCATTTTTCTGGATTATGTACCACTAGGTAATTTGCTGACGGTGGGGTATCGATTCCCCCTAGGTCCGCCTTTTTGGTGGCCGGAGAGACCATGAGGATGTATTGGAAAATCCAATGAAACTGCAGGAAAACATGATAACGATCAGAGGAAATCGTACAAAATCCCCTGGAAAACGGACGAAAACGGCGCGAATGCCAGGAACAAACCATGGAAAATCCCTTGGAAAATGGAGGAAACCGGAGCGAATGCTAGGCGCAAACCATGACGATGCAGTAAACATGTTGGAAAAATACAGTGAAAGTGCAGGAAAATGTGATAACAACGAGAGGAAATGGTGCAAAAAGGATCGGAAAATGAAGGAGTCAGGTAAAACTCTTGGATTAATATTAATATTGAAAAGGTATGAAAATGCAGGAAACCAGAGGAAATGGTGCAAAAACCTATGGAGGAAAGAGTTGAAAATGATAGGAAACATGTAGTAAAAAATGCTGGACAAAAACATATTGAAAACCCACAAAGAGGATGCATTGGAAAATACAATGAAACTTGAGGAAAACATGATAACGATCAGAGGAAAATGCTAGGAACAAACCATGCAAAATCTGTTGGAACATGGAGGAAACCGGAGTGACTGCTAGGAACAAACTATGACGATGCAGTAAACATGTTGGAAAAATACAGTGAAAGTGCAGGAAAATGCGATAACAACCAGAGCAAATGGTGCAAAAACGATCGGAAACTGAAGGAGACGGGTAAAACTCTTGGAAAAATATATTGAAAATGCATGAAATGCAGGAGACGAGAGGAAATGGTACAAAAAGCCATAGAGGAAAGCGGTGAAAATGGTAGGAAGCATGTAATAAAACAAGCTGGACAAAACACAGTGAAAATCTACAAAAGAGAAGAAAGTAACCACAGGAAACGGTAGAAAAAGCAGTGGAAACTGGAAGAAAAGTTGTGACAATATTAGGAAAACGGTGTACAAGCTAGGAAATGCTTGTAACAACTAGAGGAAACGATGTAGAAAACAGTACAACATGGAGGGCACGCGTGAACATGCTAGGAGGCATGTAACATGTTAGAAAAAGACAGTGAAAACCAAGCTAAAAATGCTTTAAAAATAGAGTGAAAACCAAGACAATGTTAACGAGCGGAAACGTTGAGCAGGAAATCCGATTTGGTTTCTGTAGATAATGTTAGATGATGAGCAATGTAGTTTGGTGATAGGAAATAGTGGCTGACTCGCGTACAAGACATTGCCATGAAACCTTGGAGCAAGATGCGGATGGTATAGGAAAAAAGATGTATGAGTTGTAAGATTTTAAGAGTTGCATGGGAAAATTGGTTTCATGGTAATCTGTGTGAAGTTAGAAAAGTGTGATTTCGTTCACAGGGTAAGAAAAATAAATACAATCTGCAGATTAGAGTATTTATAATGCTTAAAGCTGTTTGACGTTTTTTGGTGCCTCCCTGATTCTGGTAGTTTTGTGATAAGAACTACAAAAACGATCTACTGGTAAACGGAAGGAATAGTCTTTCCGGTTTAGAACTGAGTCGACTGTCAAGTGATGCATAGGCTCCAGGCTTCTGGTTATTGTCACAAAGCATTGGAATGAAGATTGCGCCCAGGAGCCACCTAGGTTAGGAGACAAATGCTGTAGTATCATTGTAAGAGGCCGTACTGCGAAGGCTGAAACAGAACTAAAAGTGAATCTTGTACTAAAACATCGAGAAAGAATTTGAATCTTCTAATGGCAATGACGGGAATGATATGCATCTGTACGTCCGTGATAGTATGTGTGCCTTTTAAAAGGGATGTTTGGCGAGTGTGATAGCTGAGAAGATTTTCCGGGATGCCAAACAATTATCTCTATCGATGTCAGGGATGATGCTATTCCGCGACATTTCCTGTAAAATACCTATTTTCCAGACCCTTGGGGGGTGGGGGGGGGGACCCAGGTCTGTAAATGGCCTATATATATATATACTTTTGATTTGGACTGCATGTTCGCCACTGTTCTATATTACCCGTGGGTTTTGCATTGTTTTCCTCGACTTTCATTCGTTCTTATACCCTTTCTTACGTATGTTATAATATTGTCTTGGGTTTGCACTGCCCATTTTGCGAGTAGAGCTATGTTTTGATTTCTCACCGTACGGCCAAAATGTTGCGGAACTTCGCGGAGAAGCATGGACCACGATTCTGGGGAGAAAACAATTTAGACTGTGAGAGGTCACATGACCACTGTTCACACAAAAAAGCGGGTATTATTATTTATCTACAATAGGTGGGAGCAAACTTGCGCTGTTTTAAGATAAATGAGCAACCAAAGGCGGATTTACGGAACTTGAGATAGAACTTTTCACAATGCCGCAGTACATTATAGGAAACATATTTGGATATAGAAGTTACAAAATCGTGGAGTTTACCCTAAAAAGGCCCATTTAATGATTGGAAAATTATGACCCGATAGCAATTGTTGATGTTGGGGCGCTTCATGTTTGAGCCATGCCATATGGATGAGGTGGAGTTTCACGCGCCCTGCGCGAGTCAAAAACAAGCGCTGGCTTTCGTTCCACCCCTTCTCAGGTGTTAAATCATGTTAATATGATTTAATATGATTTAATATGATATGGATTCATGATGGATATCCTGGACTAGTGTTGAGATGGTATAAAATCGTTCAACGGTGGAAAATAATTGTATGAATGTTGAGATGTGAAGACACTTCAAATTGAGAATAAAATGAAATCGATCGGTAGAGATGTGATCGTGATTGTTTTGAGATCCAGCATTTCAAGCCACATCCCTGACTTGGATGCGCGTATCGCATCCAACTGCGTTCATTCATCGATACCACGATGGACCAACGAGGATAAGTATCCACCAGTGTGGCCCGAAACCGGACTCTCCAACTTACCCGAGCTGTGCAGTGGAGGGGAGGCTCCCCCGCATCCTGCAGGCGTCGAGGGAGGGCTCAGCACCGGCAAGCATCGTGAGGAGCGACAAGACAAGCAGCAAAACCGATTAGTTGTTACTAACTGGATATTGGAAACATATGCAATATTATGCAATCATGAACATACTACGGAAAAGTGAAAAGATGGAGATATAAAACAGTGGGTTCCACCATGTTCCATCAAGCCGCATTGGAATTCTCCTTTTTGTTTTTAAACGGTCCAGGAGGGCGAGCACGACATTGAAGAAGTGGAACTTCCAGAAGCTGCCAAACAAAGGAGGCCCAAAGAAACGCAACAGACAGAGGGACTGTCCTGTCCACCATTCTGCTCGGATGATTTCAGCGGCAATTGGGATACCAGGTGTTGACGATGATGGTGGGTGGAAGCAGCCGGATGGGTGGTTTTTTAATCCCCGAGGTTCCTGGAGTTGGATGAAGCTTTGTGGAAGTACTTGGGTTTGCTGCCTGCCAGTGAGACGAAACAGGCAGGACTTGGGTGATGTTTGACCCCAGGCAAGAATCAAGAAAGTTCTGAAACATACTTGCAATATCATCCCCATTATATCCCCATTACATATCATCATATCCCCATGATATCCCCATAGTAATCTCCATGATATCGGAAGAGTCCTGGTTTATGCCTGCGAATCTGTCTCGCTTGTGCCTGCGCTGCCTGTTCTTTCAGTTAGCAAGTGCAGAAGTACCAGAGTCACGTCAAGCTTGCCCCAGTAAGAGACAAATAGAACACATCTAAGATGCCGGAGCACAAACATTATGTCATTGCACATCATCATATCAATACAGAAACGTATATATAAAATAGTTTTTTTGAAGCAGGACCTCATGTCATTGCATGTCCCCCTAACCCACCCCGGGTCCCATGTCCCTTGTCCCCAAGTCAAACCCTAAAAGGTTGTGACTGTATAGAGAGGCAGAAGAGGGCGCTTGCCCCAGGTCCCCTTGTCCTGTGTCTGTATGGTCAAAACCCATGTTCACCGGCGCGTATCGTGAGATTCCACCCCATGATATCCCCATCATAAACCAACCACCTGGTGCTTGTTCGATTTTTAGTCACTTGTCAGGTGAACTTGGACCGACCACCACAGATCAACAAGGGAGAGGCAGGGGCCGGCAGGGCTTGCTGACTGGTGTGCCACGATCCCTTGCAGGATAAACTTTGCGTAAACTGACTAGGAAGTGAAAATGGGTCAATTGCATTTTTATGACTTTATGTAATGTTCTGATATTCCATGTATGTAACAAGGGAGGGAACAGTTCATGCCCAGCAATGAAAAAAAATGTGTTGTTTTTGCAGGGTGGTATGGGCCATTGGGCCATGGCAGACTGATAGATCCCAACCTAGGAGCTTTCTCCAGAAGATCGACAACGCACTGCCCACCTCGAGGTTGCCGACCTTGGGACCTTGGGGCGGGGTATGAGTATGGGAGCTGGAAATGAGCCAATTTGGGGATGGGTTAACCTTTTGGTGCCATCCATTTTAGCAGCTTTATGATCTTGGATCATTTCTCTTGGATTATTTGGATTGGGGGTCGCTGTTTCTTTCACTCGCGTGATCAGATTGGCTGCAAAATCGAGGTTTGCTGTAGAAGGGTACCACTATGGCTGTTCAGCACTTGGTGGATCCACAGAAGCTGAAACAAATCCAGCTGCCAGGACAGCGACGAACGCGCCGTTGCAAACATCGGTGGTGGCGCACCAAACCGATGGGGCAAGGGAGACCAGTACCACAAGGAGGCCTAGCCCTGTCAGATGGGAGGTCTGTTGGTACCCCAAGCCATTAGTCACCCGAATTCTTCGAAGTTTTCCCACGCAAATATGAGATGGCAACTGAACGACTCCCTCATTTTTTTCCGGAAATTGGTCCGAGAGATTAGCTGTGACATCCGGGAGATTCCATGCGATTCCCCCATTTTTTTCGCTCCAGTGTTCTCAAACCAACAGAGGCCAACCCAGCATTTCTAGCAGATTCGTGTCCCATTAAAACTAATTAAAACCACCATGTTTCAACCTTCGGAGTTTCATGGGGTTTTTTTCCAGATCTTTATCGGTCAGATCATGGAGAAGATGCAGTTCTCCTGGGATACGCCAAACAATCAGCTCAAGGATCATCCGCTGGGGCCCTTGAGATCCTTTCAGGCAATAAAAACCATGTTAGCCTCTGGTTATGACTAACAGTTCGCCATGGTATAGATGGCCCTAATCGAAATAGATGGTTTACCGAACTTTAAAATGGTGATTTAGTACTATCAAAAAGTATTCAAAGGTGATAATTGCTATATTGGTGAGGCTTACTTCCATTACATACTATACTAGAAGATTCTAGAAGCCTATAGATACCAAATAGTATCATATAGTACAAATATATATATATATATATACAAATATAGTATGGCCCCATGGAAAGTACCATATAGTACACACAGTACATGTGAGTATTCCCTAAAATGGTGGTACCCCATTTATCATCCATTTCTAGATGGGATTGTCCATGAAATAAACCATCTAGCTATTGGGGTATCCCCATTTATGGAAACCCCCAGGTTTGTTAAGTTTATTACACTAATGATTTTGACACTTTGTAAAATCCTACTCCCTGTGTAGTTATTGTTTTACTTTTGTTAAGTAACAATTACAAGAGTAATTAGTTGCTTTACCACCTTATATCATATTAGGCCATAGTACCATCAGTTATTGGATTTAGTATATCATATGATTATCATCAGTTATTGGAAACCAACTATCCTATATTATTGGCCATAGTACCATCGTGCCAACTTCCCAACTGAGGTTGTACCCATCGACCTGCCTTTTGGCGATGCGGGAGGCATCTGAAAATCCGGTGGGAAGATCATCGTTGACGTGGGAAATCCCCCCAAAAAATGGAGGTTTGAATGGAAAAGCATCTAAAAAATGGCAGATGTTCCATTTTTGAAGAGTGAAAACGGAACAAGATGTTTTTTATCGTGTTTTCAGCCATCTTAGTTTTCCAGAGGGTTTGCCAAATCTGATGATTTTGGGTGACATGAAGATCGGTGCTGGATTGTGCCATGGTCGCCGTCTTGAACATCAAACATACGTTCAGTTGGATCAACATTCTTGTTGGAAAAATGAGTTCAGTTGGATCAAAATTCTTGTTGGAAAAATAAGTTCAGTTGGATCAAGAGCATCAACTTTCAGATAATTCTTGTGATTTTCCATATTTTCCCGTTGGAACATTTGTATCGACCCATGTGTTGATAGCCATGAAGCAAAAACCTTTTCTCACCCCGCAGGTGATCAACTCCCGATTGTTTTCCACTGTGGGGATGCTTGGAGTTGCAAAATGATCCTATGATTTTCATCGCTGAACGTAGAACCCCAAGAGCTTTGTGGATTTTCCAGGGATGGTCGGTTTGGATTTTGGGTCCACGTTGTCCACATTGTCCACATCCAAATCGGCACTGTGCTGCTGCCAAGGTGAGAGACTCGCTGGGCTTGTCATATGATTGTGAGCCCAGCCGATCTGAAGATTACTGGGTGACCATTGGATATCCAACCAGGATATGTCTGGGTTTATATATTGGACATTTGCAGGAGAATCAGGAGAATGATTGTTGGAAGAGTGAGGCTGAATTCGAACATTTCGGGGTTTGCCAAAGTTGGTACTAAGCTAGTAAAATGCATGTGAGAGCAATCTTTCAAATCCAGACAGAAGGCTGAACATCCATAATCATTGAGCTGGTGATGTCTTTTTTTGGTCCTGATATGTCCTGATTTTGCCTGGGATGAGAGACCAAAGTCCCCATTGATCCATTGCCTAAAAGTTGGGGGTGTTTGGCAACCCCCACCTGCCAGGCAGCTTCGATTTGTCGATGTTTGACAGGTTGGAGGCAGGGCGTTGGAACTTTTACAATGATCTGCCCGTAGTACTGAAGCGTATTCACGTCACTACTTAAGAAAGGAAGCTACAGTCGACAGTATAAAGTCCCAGTGGTATATATATATAGATATACATATATCCCTATGGCCCCTATGGGCTAAGTACTTCACCCAGTCCACCAGGCTGGATGGTACAGTTGCACAGTGAGCGCTCACCCGTGGTGGAGCCCAGGGATCTATACTTTGCCATGACCGCTCTGCCATGATTTGATGATATTTTATGGTCCTCAGCCAATTTTTTCACGGAAATATGATATTAACTGATTGGAAATATGATATGAAATGATATCATAATGATTTTAATGATATTAACTGATTGGAAATGATCTGCTATAGATTTTTTTCATGATTTGAATGATTGGCAAAAAACGGAAGTTTGATCCGGAAAATGATCATCGACTCTACTAGATGTTGGTTTTGAACGGTTTTGACCGACTGACTGAGGTCCCGAATCATGGAAGCCGTGAGTGCTGCCAAGGGCGTGTTGCAAGGCGGAAAATCAAATGGATCTGGGTCAAAGATAGGGGCCTTACCAGCAAAATCCAGCAAAAATAGATAAACATAGGCAGAGCATGGAGATGTTGGCAGACGGAAAAAAAATGGATGTGTCAAGAGTCAAAACTCGGTGAAGCATGTTTTCGTGTACTTCATATACAGTACTGTAGTTGGTAGTGAATCGATCGATTTTGAGGCCTAAAAAATTGACAGACCAGAGCCACGGATGTTTTGGGGGTTGAGAAGCTCACTGGATTTGCGGTTAAGGATCACCATCGCCTGCAGTCGATTGAATTCGCTTGGTAAGATGCGAGTGGATTTAGTTAGGTCGCATTTAGATCAAATCCAGATCAAATCCAAATTTGAGTTGTGACTTCAGAATACTTCACATCATCCAAGGGAACCTGTTTTGGTGCCGATTTTTTCTCGACCGCTGTTTCCACCACGTCAGGTGTCAAGAAGCGTCCAATCTCTGAATTGGAGCTCTCCACAGCGCGAAGGACGTCCAAAGGGTCCGCTGACGGCGAGGTGATGTTGGGTCAAATTTGGGATGAACATGCGAAAAATCCAAAGATCAAATAGTTATATACAGATACATATATATATACCGAATTATATATATTATCATATAATGAAATATCAATGGTGGAGTATAAGAAATGATTCATGGGGATCAAATACGCCAGGACCTTATTGCGTCGCCACGAAACCGATCTTCAGAGCAATGAGTTCGGCACCTGGTAGTTTCGATTGGATGATGATGAATCATCCATTGTGGATCATTGTGTACATCATCCATTCTGGATGTTAATGATCCACGTTGATCCACAATGGAGGATATATATGATATCATACATCCAGTTGGATGATGTGTTTTTTTCGGCCCCAGTTGGATGTTAAACACATCCACAATGACATTGATGTTGACGATTTTGGAAGATCCAAGCCAGTCAACTTGGGTAGTAACTACCCCCATGACATCAACGAGTCATGATGTTGCATGCAGAAAAAACAACTCCAGTAGTTGGATGTTATTGACAAGAGACGTTTTATATCATTTTACAGTACATCATTGATATTAAATGATACGAATATATAGTCACCGCCCGTAGTTTCAAGATTCCTTTCAAGCAATTGGCATTGGATATTGGATGATATTGGCATTGGTTATTGGACATCAAAAAGTGAATTTCTGCATTCTATATCATTCTATTGGATATGAGCGTTGTTCACAAGTATCATCCAATAAATATTTAGGATATTGCCATTGGTGCCATGGGATATCCCAGGTATTGGATCGGTTTGCTGACGCACCTGCAGCACGATAATCCCAAGGACCGGACTGGAGCTGGCGTGAAAAAAGCGGTGATTTCACATAGCGGTGACTGGAAATTTGGCCAATGAACCAATGAAAATAGATGATAAACATATATAAACATGATGATTTAATATGATTTACCTATTAGCCTATTAGAAATTTAAAATGGTAAACCTTTTCATGGTGATCTTCGATCCGTTTAAACCAGAGGGTGTTCGTTTAGACCATAGCTATTCTACATGGAAATCTGCAGAACCAGGATATCAGCTGCATCAGAGACACCGAGATGATGTGACACTGCCCAGCTTTGTGGAGGGGTAAATGTCCGCATTTTTTTGGGGGTGCATACGGCATACCAACATTTTTTTGATCAGATTGTTTAAGTGTATCTATATGATTTTATGTAGATAAATGTATGTTGTTTTTTGGAATGTTCCTGTATTATTTGGAGACATGGACAGGTCATTTGTCGTAACTTATTCATAACCCAGCCATTGGGCAGGTCCAATGACCCTGACCCATACATCTTGAGGTTGAAGGCATTGACGTGGAGGGATGTGCAGAATGCCTATCTGTGTGGCATCTCAGCTGTCCTGGTGGCCATGCAGAAAGATCTAGCACTTGATTGGTTAGATATATATCCTATGATCGTGTATACTGTTTTATATCCTATGATAGTTATAGTACCTAGTATATATACTGTTATATATTGGATTGATATATATATATATCCTTGATTGGTTGGATATATTATATTATAGATATATATATATATACTGTTTTATATACTATAACTCTATGATACCCGTTGGAGTCATACTCCACTATGATCCGCTATGCTAGATCCGTCTTTTTCTCCCAACTTCTTGGGCGTAAATCCGCATGTGGCGTGTGTCCCTGGGTCCCCTGGGTTGGTCAAGTCCCCATTCTTCCACGTTGCTGGCTAACCTGGCTAACCTTGCCATTTTTGTTGGCTGAATCCCCATCTGTTTCCTGGTTGCCCATTTCTTTATTGGTCAGATGCCAGTTGCTTGTTGGTAAAATTCAGTTTGTTGATAGTTCTTGTTGGTGGCATAACATTGTTCATTGTTGATTTCAATAGCTTCAATCAATTTTATGTCTGTTTGGTCAAATTCTGATTCTGTTGCAGTTTCTCCATGGATCCAGGACTCTCCTCACTGAACCCGACCAGCTCTTCGTGTCCGTGAGTACGGCGCCCGGATGACACAGCGAGATCGGGGGATTCACCCGTCGCGTGCCAAGGCACTGCTGGACCTGGTTCCAGTTTTGTCTCCGGCGGTCAGGGCCCGGAAGTTGTTGGGTTTGGTGAGTTTGGTGTTGTCTTGGCATCTCTTGCTGGTTCGACAAATGTGGGAAAATACTGGAAAATTCCTCTGGACTAGTTCTGGTGGCAGCACATGGTCTTTGAATCCAATGAAGC